AAAATTGCTAAAATTTATTAAAAACTAGTTAAAACACAAATTATGTTTCATTGTATTTGAAAATGGCTAGACTATTGAATTTGTGTGTGTTTTGTGAAAAAAATTAATTTAGAAAAATGTTATAGTGCCGGATTTGCAGGACTTGTCAAAATGGCGGAAAAAAGAAAACATGCGCACAGGAAAATGCATATCTTCTAAAATATTAACATTTTAAGTGCAAAATACATTTGAAACTTGTAGCAGTACCATATTTCTATCTGATAAAAATTTAAGAATAACAATTATTTTTTTTACTACTTCATTATATCAAGTGTACAACAAGCGTCCCATAAGTGAGACGCTAGCAACGAATGGCCCCATGTAGATTGTTACACAAACGTCACATTTATTGGACACTAGCGAGAAACACAGATGCAAATGTTTATGTTAAATGGTTATTTATGGTGAAACAATTGTTGACTTTGTTAACTGCTGACTTTGGGATGTTAAGTAGTATTTATAGATATTTAATTATGACCTTGACCTATATTTATGCAGATTGTTACACAAACGTCACATTTATTGGACATTAGCGAGAAACACACATGCAAATATTTATGTTAAATGGTTATTTATGGTGAAACAATTGTTGACTTTGTTAACTGTTGACTTTGGGGTGTTAAGTAGTATTTATAGATATTTATTATGACCTTGAGCTATATTTTCTTATATATTATTGTATTAAAAATTGCAAATATTGAAAAACTTACATTTTATTTTTAAGTTTTCAGAATTACACTTACTGAAGTATTTAATACCGTTGAATACAAACTAATTTAGCATTGCTGTAAATTTACTAGCGCTGATATTAAAATTATGACAAACCAGAATAATAATGGCCACGATTTAGGTGAAATGATTCAGTCATGGGGGTTGGTTAACTCTCTTCATATAAGAGAGCTTAAGCTACATATAGCAGAAATGTGAATTAGCTGTGTACAGTTTTCATGCCCTAATAATATTCCCCTCCAAAGGTTCACAATACCAATTTTACTTTGTTAACTTTTTAAGGAGATTCCTGGTGTTAGATTGGGAGATGTTCGCATAGTGAGGTACATACACGGATGAGAGCCACGAACACTCAATACAGTCACCCAGAGACGGATCCGAGCCCTAGAAATAAGATGTATGATGTCCTAATGTACGCCTGTGGGGGGGGGGGTGAATAGCGAGGGTAACAAAAGAGAGGATGGCTGGATGACATCTGGGACTGGACCGGATCATCTTTTGCAAATTCACTGAGGGCAGAGTTTCTTTCAGGCATCATTTCAGAGGTGGGGGGAGGGGTGGGCTCTGCCCCCAGAACAAAATGGAATTTATATACTAAACATTTTTTACCAATGTCCACCCTTCCCCTGAAATTTAAGTCCCCATCCCTGAAAATTTCAAGTACGCCCGCCAAAAAATCAATTATTTATATTTAATTATATTACTGTTTCGATGAATAATAACAATATTTGTGATCATGTGTGTATAATTAGATGTACTAGTCACAGCCTTACTTATTTCCAAGTGTTATTCACTTTGATAAATGCTAGATTGAAAGAAAACTAGACTTTTGAACATAATATCTGCATTTTAGACCATGGTATGGCTAACCAAATTGATCATTATCAGTATTTTTAGCTGTCCTAAACAATGTAATCATTGGTCTAGCAATACAAAATCAGTACACAGCTTAATTTTCGCGTGAATAGCCATATTTCGTGATAAATGATTTTATTTTTCAATAAATGTACATGGGGCCGTTCGTTGCTAGCGTCCCATTTATGGGACGTTTTTTAAAAAATCGATATTTAAAAAAGTATTGATTTAAAAAAAAAATCCATAGTCATTCCTTCATTCAGTGCCCAAAAGCTAAACCATATCAAAAAATAATAAAAATTTGAGACCTTGGGATAATATGGGTTATCTTGGGCTTGATGATTACAACACATTTTTTGGGAATATTTTAAACCTGGGATGTATTTTAAAAACATCCTTCCCATATGATATGGATATTTTTTGTTTCTCTCATAAAATTTCGTGTGACGGTAAAACTGTACCGTCATCTTGCTTACGACCCCTCCGGCTACATACTTTCTTATCCTCTCCACCCTCCCGTAACTAAGCTTTTCTCTCGTTGGCTAGATTTTTCACATGACACAACGCGATACTAATTTTAACCCATAAAGTCCATCTCTTGTTACTGGCATTCACAAGAGAGGAGGGCCGTGGGTTCTACACCCATGTGCGCTGCGTTTTTTATTTTTTTAGATTTGTTTTTGTAATTCATGCAATTCATATACCAAAATAAAAACGTATTTTCTAAATCTAATAAAAACACAGGTAGTATATTCTCGCAGTTTTTAGTAATTTATTATATTATTACAGTCCACATAATCGTGACCTTGATCGGCAGCCATAGAACCTGCTCATTTAATTTACTTGCCGGCTGTAAACCCTTAAAAGAAATGTGGTTATCAGAATTGGCTATTAGTATTTTTACTGATACTAGCTACAGCATTTTCATTATGTTCTCATCCTGCCTGTGACTTAGTTCACGTGTCAGTAGATAACTTACTTATTCTTATTATTTTACACACCTCTTTTCCCTGTAGTGAAGTGTCACAGACGTGCATACCAGTTGCATTATATGATTCCTGCTAGTATTATACTATTATGATATACTTTAGTTAATGAACTTACTGTTCATTTTCAGTTTACGCAATACAATTTACAATTTACCTCTGACGCTTAACTTAACACATTTTTCTATTACTTGCATTACTATAACTGAACCCACTTTACAACACTGTATCAATACTTGTTATCGACACACAGGTGTCTGATTACTTTTGTAATTAATTCACCTTTTTAAAAAAGTTGTCTTAAGTAGAAGACGTATCCGATCTATTAGCATCCAGTTGTGTTTATGTTTTAACACTTGCAACTAATTCTTTCCTATGTTAATTATAGACTAATAAATTGTATTCAATTACAAGGATTATATAGATAAAACCACTTCCACACTTAATAATGCAACAAAAAAAGTACTGTGCGGTGGTAGACTACAGGACGTTATGTGAGATATAAAACTAAGTACATTCTGAGATGTTTGTAAATTAATTGATCGTATTTTTAATTTCTATAAAACAATTTTTCCAACAAATAAATAGCAAAAAAAAATTCTTTTAGTTCTTTGATAAAATTATTTTCTAACTAAACTTATCACTTGTATTATTTTTTTTAAATATCGGTTCGTTTAAACAAACACACACACGCACACGCACATACACACACATGTATATATATATATATATATATATATATATATATATATATATATATATATATATATATATATATATATATATATATATATATATATATATATATATATATATATTATTTTGCAGGGAGACAACAAAGAAATCACACAATTATATTTTATAAGTGTTACGCCCCCTTACAATCGTAAGTAATCATGTTGAATAATGACAACAGTTTACATACAAATAAAATGCAGAACGTAAAAATACATTCCCGAACACAAGTAGATTGTATTGAACAACTAAATGCAAATATACAGAATAGGGAAGAAGTAAGTTGAATAAACTTACAGGAAAATAAACACATTCTTACACAAATTTAAGTACGTCAACAGTGTCTTAGGCGCTGCAGAAAGTAAACCCAAGTTTGTAATCCAATCGCTTAAAAGAGGCTCTACACAAGTTTTACTCTTACTTTTTTGATACACCAAGGAGCTTAACTCCAGTTTGATTTCTGACTTATCTGGTCCTAAGCCTCATCTGTCCGATGGTTCATTTTTCTGTTTAGCGACCATGCGCTCAATCGCCCGCCACTCCGAGCCTAGATCAAACTTTAAACCTTTAAAAACAATTATTTTTTTCAAGATCTTGTCGGATAACTAATGTAATTTTAATCCAATGAAACATATGAAGTAAGTAAATTCCAAACGCATAGAAAGTCTACCAACCCCCCCCCCCCCTCGCAGGTAAAAAGTAGTCCGCCCCACCCTCCCACCCCCACCCACAAAAATATCAAGTGCCCCCCCCCCCCCCCCACACCCCACCACCCGGAGAAAACACTGGTCTCTGAATGTATGTGTGTGCCTCTGTGTGTGATTATGAACCCGATAACAAAGATTCATATATACGTATTAAATCATACATACATTTTTATCAATATTAGTTTTAACCCAAACGAGTACTTTAATCTATTTTCTTGAGAATCGTTTAAATTTTGTTGTAGAAACTTCAATTGTAAGAATTAGATTATAAAAATATATATATATATATATAATATTTCAACGATTTAGTCTAACTGCAAGTAGTACTATACTCTATTTTTGGGAAGCCAAAAGAAATTGACTACCGTTCCAATTAGATTGACGCAACATATAAAAAGTGCAATACCTTAATTTTTGAGTGAAAACCAATTTCTGGTATTTTTTTTTCTTCGTCCAGTTTCTCAAATACCTTCAGAATGAATTTAAAATTGTATATTCTCTGAATATTCTCGGAATATTCTCTGAACGTTTCGCCAGCTTCTATATTTATTTAGTCCGATTTTACTTTATGATCTCAGCTTTTACTCTTACGTCAGATACAACGAAAATCTTTATTTTAATTGTATATAAATAATTGATACTTTCTTTGATCATTTCGGTCATGATCATTACTATAAAGATCCAAAACAATATTTTATTGTTAACAACTATTTCATTCATTCATAAACTTTAATTTTTTTGTTTTTTAAAAAAATAATCCTATTGTAAATTTAATACTGCTTTTTTTGACAGTATTTGCAATATGTGTGTACGACATCAGAATTTTACTCAAATTGTATAATATAGTTACTCCCCTTTTCAAATCATTTACGTAAAACTGGTACAATAAAATAGTTTACAAAAAAAAGTAGGACAACTGTAGGCATATTTACATTTTGTAATTTTATTTACTATTTAATTTAACATGCATTGATGTGATTCACAACAGATGTCTACACAAACAAACATCTAGTCAACAGAGAATTTCACTCAGCAGTTGACAGTCTGTCATCATTTTGGGGAAAGCCGTTTTGGTGAGTGTTTGATTTCAACTTAAACTCAAAGCAATAGTTTTTATTGTTAAAAAAACTCTGCGAAATATTGTAAATTTATCATGCACCAGTCGGTGTTAACACAAGGTTCTTTTTTGTTTTTTTATTTTTTATAACCACAGCCGTCGTAGCTTCATCTCCACGAATTCCAAAGAATTAGTGAAGCCTGTTATACCGTGCCAGATAATGCCTTTATGTATAACTTTACTCGCCCACATACCGTTTACGTTTACTCGATGACAATCTCTATACCACCAGCCGCCTTTATAATCCTCCGCACAGTGCTGAGAACTTCTGTCATTGTCTCTATCTAAAGTAGAAAAGGCCATTTGGTTGTGTGTATCTAAGTTGTCTGTAGCGTTGCCTGTCTTGTATGTAAACTTTATCCTATACAAATCTGCTTCATTTCCCACCTTCACATTACTGTACACGGCGTAGTAGGATTTACCTTCATATTTCATGTCAAACCTCAGTTCACTGTAGCCCTGTGAACAGATACAAACATATTTTGTTTTAAATTAAGTTACTGTAAAAATTTCAATGAATATGTTGAAAAAAAGGTTGAGTGGATAACACTATAAATCATTTAGTGTAGTTAAGAAACAATTGTATCTATTCTGATGATATAGTGAATGCTTCAACATGTGCGACAACAACTTTAAACATAATTTTGCAATCTTGTCCGTATGTCTGTGTGTGTGTCTGTGTGTGTGTGTCTGTTTGTCTGTCTGTGTGTGTGTAAATACGATAACTGGAGTACCGTTAGAGCTAGGTTGATGAAATTTCATACATAAGTATTTTATTAAAATCGTAGATCTCTATTAACTTTTGAGCGATTTCCAATAAACGGATGTGGTACTTTTTCTACTTTGAATTTTTCAAAAGCGTATAACGTGAGTACTTTTTCAGATAGATAAATGAAATTTCACATGTAAGTAAACGATCTAATTCTCTACCTTCTGTCAAAATTTGAGTAATTTCCGTTTACCGGAAGTACTAAGTTTTGCTATTACCGATTTCTCAAAAGACGCATGTACATTTATAAAGTACTAATAATATTGCGCACAATTATGCACATTTTGTTTTGGCGTTCGCTGGGTGCGCATGTCTTTTTTCTACGAGATTCTATTCTACTTTTAGCTCAATTTCCATTCTGGAGAATTGCGTTTATTAACCCGTGATTTCTGGGAACGTATGAATGTATGAATGTATGATAGTGTGTCCGCAGGTTTAAGTCGTATCTCCTCCTCAACGAAGCAATATCGAGGACTAGTTCCAAAAGCAATTATGTTAAGCAAGTTACGAGGATGAACATAGGCAACCAGACCACTTAGCGACTTGAAACATGTACCAATTGACTCCTGCTATAATGTAGAACAATATTGCCGAAGAAAGTTTTCAAAAATATCCTTTTGTTCGGTCACAAAATTTTTTTTTAATTAATTAAAATTTGGACCGAATTAGTAGGCATGTTTATCCAACCACACCACACGCGTCATCACGTTCAATAGCTGCGCCATCACGTTCAATGGCTGCGTCATCACGTTAAGTAGCTAGGTGCGCAATGGTTTTAGTCATGTAACTCTATTGTAAATAAAACATGTAAAATACTGAAAAAAAAAATTAATAAAAAACGTTTCAATAACTAACCAATGGTTTTACTAACCCTGCTCTTGATTAACGCTACGACATAGCTATTTTTAGATAACATAAGGAAATTGCGCTAAAATTGTCACTAGACTTTTTAATTACCTTGTTTTTTAAAGTTGAGGTACTGTTTGAGCATAGAAAAATATGAATTTTGTATTAATACTCTTATAAAAGACACTACAATTCCTTCACTTGTCCAATTGGTCAATTAAAGAATGTGCTGAATGATAGGTGATAGACTGGTAGGGGTAAAAGCCAGGCCAAGAAAGCTTTAGACAAACTTTATGCATTTAGCAATGAAGAGAAGACATTACAACAACAGTAATAAATTTTTTAAATGTAACAATTTTAAATGGTTTTTACAACTACGTTTTCATTTGTATTATTTGTAGAATGCTAGCTGTAGAAGACATATTTTCATTAAAACCTTTGAGGACCAAGGGACACATGTGTCCCAAAGTTTCAAATTATCGCCAAACGAATTTAGAGTTGTTAAATTTGCTTTTATCAATTTTTATATGATTTAATTAATCAACCTAAGGCTGTTTTCAGTATATATAACATAGCTTTGTTGTCATATTTTAGGAAACTTTCCACTTTTAGACCATTCGCAAAGCTACAGTTTACATTTTTATATAATTTATACTAAATGTAACAGAAATAAATAACTTGTGGTTTTTTAAAGGTTTACTTTTGAGATATCATATTTACATTTGTTTTTCCTAATAGTTTTTTTTTAAAGTGTAATTTTTTTTGCTTGGGACATATATGACTTTTAGAACACCGCGCAGAAAAATATACTACGCACAGTAGATTTTTCCCTTCAGAGGGAGTGTTAATAGTGGCAATTACCTTTCATACCCCCCCCCCCCTCGATATTTCCAACTCGGAGCAATTACGCTATGTCTATTTATGGATAAGTAAGGACTAGGGTTAGGTTAGGTCTAGTGTTAGGATTAAATCTTGGTTTGGAGTTGAGTTTAGGATTTGATGTTAGGGTAAGCTATAGGGTTGGAGTGTGGGGGTTAAGGTCAGGATTCTTCAGCATCAGGATGTGGGTATTTGATGGGAGAGGGGTAATGTCCTGACCCTAAACTGACACGTTTCATTATCATCAATAGAACATGACTTGCCCATTGAACAATCAAACGTCCTCGTGAGATTTGAAAAAGGAGAATGAGGCAAAATATTGTTTTCAACTAGAGGCTTCTGAAAACACACTTTCAAATACAAGTTATTGACTATGGTTATGGGAAATTTAAAATAGATGTTGATCACAATGAACATCCCAATGTTATTTGGCATATAAAAACCTTGTTATTTTAATTGTTTGGTAGCTATGATTATTGATAATAGTAAACAGTAAGTGCAGAGGCGTATCGAGTGGAGGGGGGGGGCGTGTTGCGGACCGCACCGGGTGACACTATTTAGGGGGCTGACACAAAGGCAAAAAAATAGCAAAATACATACAGAAAAGTGATAATTTCCCTTCATTAAATGATTAATTAAAGTGAAAAAAAAGTCTTTTTAGAGCAAAGTGGACAAATCCCGGCAAGGGTGGAGTGGAGAGGGGGAGTTACATCAACTCAACGTTGCAATATATGCCTGAGGAAAAAGGTTTGGTTTGGAATCGCAATAACCTATGTGCTAATCCATGTATGGGTGGGTGGGGTAAAAAAATTAAATACATCCAAAGGAAAAACAATTGTGAAAACATATAGGCCCTACACATGCGTATACACATACTTACAAGTCTATATGGAATATATATATATATATATATATATATATATATATATATATATATATATATATATATAATTATATATATATATATATATATATCAATATTTATATATATATATATATGTATATATATATATATATATATATATATATATATATATATATATATATATATATATATTTATTTATTTATTTATTTTTTCCTTACGGGAAGGGGGGGGGGGGACATCATTAGTTGCCGCACCGCGTAACACCTGACCTCGCTACGACACTGAGTAAGTGATTCCTTTTCAAACTGATTCGCAAGACGTCTGTAGATTTTTGAGAATGAAACTTGTGATGGGATACCATGTATTTCTGACCATTAAGACTACTAGTCCACGGAACCTGATCTCCATGTTTCATAAGTAGATAAAGTGATGCCAAGATATTGATTTGAAGTTTTAAAAAAAGGCATTTATACGCACAAGTGACAAGAATTCAAGTTTAAATATATGTAAATGATAGCGAGAGCTCTCACTTAGTGATTACTTGAAAGAAATATCAATTCAAGACCTGTTCGTAGAGGCAAGAAGTTATCTTCAACCTCACAACCTGAACAGAAAAATGCAGGAGTTATGCACAATGTGCAAGAGAAATGATTGAGAACAGAACTGACACTATGTGTGTTGTCTGCCATATTCGCTTATATTACATAACATCACGTAGCTGCTTCCAAAATCTTCCTTCTAAGATGACTATACTCTCATAAAGAACATAAATGTGTTCTCCTTACTGATATTCTTAATTTCGAATGTACCAGAACAAGAAACACAAGTTTGATCACCTTTGTAACAAACACTTTGATATAACGCATAACGCAATCTATTTTTTGATAACTTTCCCATTACGCCCATAGGGACAAAATGTCCCATGCTGTATCTCAAAAACCATTTAAGAAATCAGAAAACCGTTAACATTTTTGTAAATCTACGTCTCATTTTACTATTAAATAAGTGCACAGATATTTAAAATTATGTGTGCATTCCTTGTGGTCCTGAAAAGGTTAAGTTAAAACTAAAATTTAAACGTACTTTTTGTGTGAGGTTTGAGATCCAGTCATTTCCCAGCCAATAGTCTCCAGCCAAAGATCCAAAACCATTTTTGTAGTCGCTCCAGTTTCTGGTGAAATTTACGTCACCTTTGACACGTCTCTGAAAATAAACAAAAACGATTAATGTAAAAAATTAATCTAATTTTCGTTTGAAAATTAAAAACTAAATATGATATTTTCCTGTACAATGGACGAAAACTCCGAGGTCAAATAACCGGGTAAATAAGGCTTGAGATCTGGAAACAGCAAACCATAAAGGAGAGAAAACTAAAAAATCAAAAGCTGTGGCCTTGTAGCTTGTCCTTTGATCAACAAAGGCTATGGAAGCAAATCAAGAAAGAAAAGTAGGCTAGAAATTGAGTCAACGGGTCACGTGGCGACTTTTAATACATCATTGTATTATAGGAAATACTCTCCAGTATTTTATTTAAGACTGAACAAGAAAACGTTCATACAAACCTTTACAGAACAACTCACTACACGTACCATGCGACTTTCATTGGTATTTTGATGACGCAATCGAACATACATTAAGATAAAGTCTGAAGGATTGAAAACGATAGGTCAAATATGAAAAACTTAACTTGAAAGATTTTCATGTAATACAAAGCAGGATCAGATTCATGTAAAGAAAATGTTTCGTTACAGGCAGAATGAAGTTCAAAAAAATGTAGAGCAAAGTTTCAGTCTATAGTTGTCAAAGACAATTCGTTTTGGGTAGTTGACTAGTAATTAATAACACAACTTAAAACTCATCAGTGGAAATAAAGTTACTAATTTTTAGGGAGTGTATCATACCATAAGCATCACTATTTGTTGTATTTCATAATTGTATTTTTAACATTTGTATTGAGTCGAGAGATAAACTTTGTTATTTTTAATTTAAAAGATATTGCTTTTTGTGTTGCATTCAACTAAATAAATACAATACAGGCTTATCCATAGTCTTTAAGTGAGAAACATTTATATATATATATATATATATATATATATATATATATATATATATATATATATATATATATATATATATATCAATATATTTACGGCTCTATAGTTATTGACACGTTATTAAATCTTGCTTCGACGCATTAACAAACGTCTTGTAATTAAACTCAGAATTATTTTACCCGGATAACTGAGATGGGTGTTAGTTGACAGCCACCAATTTTTTTTACTTTATCTATTCAGAGAACTACTTGAGCAAGAGTGTAGGTTAGTTTAGCGAATCTTAATCTATTTTAATATTTTTTTTTCTAATTTTTGCATCGTATGTTTACTATTTTATACTTTAGGCCTGAAGTCCTAAAAAATCTACGCATGTTGATATGGTACATTTTCTATTAAAATATTTGAAAACTGAGCTTTTGACGAAAGATAGTTAGACTCAATTCAATTAGTTTACACCTACCCAAAAATGTTTCACCACATGTTATTCATAATGAAAAATAAAATTTAAAAACATAAAATAAATGACAAGACCTGATAGTTATTCGACTTTGGATTAGGGAAAATAATATTGAAAATGCTAATCAACACGGAAAACAACTCGAACGAAAATGCTAAAGTTGTCAAGGATTACTAAATAATAGAAGCATGCAGTACCTGTATAACAATCCATTCTCCACCGTCTGTATTGGTGTCACACAAGGCCAGTTTATTTTCACTTAGTTTAACAACTGTTTGTTTGGGTAGACTTGAGTTTTTGCTCCTAATACACTAGAACAAATGAAATAAAATTAGCGATTTATAGCCAAAAGATTTAACAAAAACTCTCACTGCATTATTTTCATTTTCCGCAATTCACTTTTTTAAAATAAATCGCTTTGATGTATCAAATAGAAATTAAGTATAAACATATATTTTAAACTTTCAATAAAAATTATTGATTTTAACTTTATTTATTTATAAAAATAGTTTAGGTAAATGATGACTAAGCACAATTTATTTCAACTAGTATAGCCATTTCTTTAAATAAAATTAATTGTTTGCTCTAAAAGTGAAAGGATGGACACAAACGAAACTGTCAAAAACGTTCAAGGGTCCTGTACAGTTGTTTTTTCTTACCTGTATTGTTAATTTTAAAAAGAATTGATCATCGTTGTACTCGTCAATAAAACCTTGCAAAGATTTGTTGAGACCGTCTACCAAATTTAATGTGGAATTGATATATTCTTGTGTGATAGTTTTCTTTATATTTGTTTCCATATCATTTAATCTGATATTGATTTGTTCTGTTTGGTTCTGGGTGTTGGCTAACGATGTTTGCATTGATTCGTTTAAAACAGCAACACTATTTTTATTTAACTCTATTTTTGAAAAGAGTTTGTTTTCCATCATCTGGAAAGTTTTGTTTACATCAAGAGTTAAATTCTTTATTTTATCATCCAACATTTTATTATCAAGTGAAGAAGAACTGATCTGTTTATAACTGTTATTTAACTCTGCATCTGTTTGACCAAAACTTTTGTCTGTGTTGAACTTAGTGTCAACAGAATGTGACATCTGTAATGACATTGTCATGTCTGCACCTTTCAGTCTGTCTGGGTCTTCAAACGATTTGAGAAAGTCGGCCATTGTGTCAACAGATTTAACATAGTCAGAAGTTTTAGCTTTCAGGTTCATCATTAGAAATGTGTCACGCGATTTTCTTGGTAAACTCTCTGTCTGTTTCCCAATTCTATGAATGGATCCTGTTGTATTCACATACTGTACTTCACATAGGAAAATGCTATCATTGCAGTCTGAACTATTCGATAAATAAATATCTAATTGAGAAAATGTTTTCGATATTTTCCCTTCTACTCTTTTTCCAGCACTTTTATAATCTTGAAACTTTGAATCTGATTCTGAAATAGACGCCACCAAAATCTTCCCCTCTCGTTCACTGATCCTATAGACTGACATGTTGACAAGAGCTGATATCTGAGTGTCTTCTCTTATGTTTTCTGTACACTGGAGTTGTGCACAAAATAAATTCTTGCCATGGATAAAAATATTCACTATTTATGTTAATCTTTAGACCTGAAAATAAACAAAACACTTATCCATTTCTTTAAGTAAAAAGTTTAAAATAATTCGAATTAGTTTATGGGGTAAAGCATCAATGTGTCTGGTGAGACGATTTTTGATATCAGGGAAGATTATTAGGCTCTTGGAGAATTATTAGTATCTGGTTTCATAACATTACATGTGCTAAAGATTTTGTATTTTCATTTAAAAAGGGGCGTGCAGGATAACTATTTAAGTAGTGCAGCATCTCAAAAAATGACTGTGTCAAAACTGCCACCGGGCTGTAAAACGTATTTTTTACGATATTTAAAAGAAAATCATATAATAAAAGTAATTTTGTAAATGGTTTGCACATAGGCAAATAGTTTTTATTAAGATATATTCTTTAAGCTACATTTATTTTTAAAAAGTTGTATCGTTACAGCTAATTAAAAATAAACACAAGAAAGTCAATATAAGTTAATCTACAAAATATTTTTTTAAACTGCGTTTGAGTTTGATATATTTTTATAATACGTACTGTTTTGAAATTATTGGAAATAAAACCAACAATTGAAAAAATGATTTTAAAAGAGAATAAAGTTATTAGACTCAATCATTTGAAACTATTACGAAAATAAGACTTAAATAATATTACCTGTACTTGAAATAACATTTATTGAGATGACCATGTACAGCACAGCGAACATCATTGTGCTATTGATGCTTTATAGCTTTAAAATTTAACAAATCACAAAAACCCAAAACTTTACTTCAACGACTTGAATCTCAACTAACGAAATTGAAATGCGAGCTGGTTTAAATAGGAATATCCAGGTAGCCTTTTTCGCATTTTTATCGAACTGACGTCACAAATTAAGATAGAGTAAATCATATTTATTTTTAACTTTTGTTACCAAAATATTAAGACTGCAACGTGCCAAGTGCCAAGGTGCACCTTGATACATTTATCTATTCCCGCCAGAGTTTTTAATTTTTAAAGCGCTCCGTTCTTTGCCAAAACTGGCAGGCAAAAATTCTGCTTCTAAATTGAGTTAGAAATTCCATGTAAAAATGATGCGACGAAAATACTCTAGACTAGATACAATGTGATAAATGAGATTGCAAAATCAACGGTCGCAAAAAAAATGAGCAGGTAAACTGAAAAACAGATATTAACGGGGACGAAAATAGAGCAGGTAAAGTGGAAAACAGCTATTCACATCTATCAAACAAATACGGGGAAAACAATTTTTATGGAACGTGGGGTTTAAATTAACATCGTGTAATCTTTAAACCTGCTTACATCATTGATAAAAATACCTGACTGGGATAGACATTCTATTTTAAGCACATCTCAGCATGGGCTTGCTGATTAAATCAAATTTTTTTGTGACTATTTTAAATCTTGGGGTGTATTTTAAAAAAATCCTTTCCGTATGATATGGATAGATTTTTGTTAATGTTATAAAACTGCGTTCCATTCTAAAAAATGTGCCGCCATCTTGTTTACCATCTCCCAGCTACATACGTTTGTATCCTCTCCACCCTCCCCCCAACCGAGTTATTCTCCAGTGCAGTGGTTCCCAAACTTTTTCGAGTGGCGACCCACTTTTATCAATATAAATAAAGCAAAGTGCGTCAAATTTGGCACGATGATGCCTTGGGGCGATAGAATACGAGGGCAAGTGACGGTTTGCCGAAAAGTCCAAGGAAAAGGGGTCAAAACTGACCTCGACCGACCGGCACCTTATATAAGCTCTATTACGAAAAAAACTTTTGCCCGACGACCCCCCTTGAAATTTTGTGAAGTGGTAGGAGAACGCCTTAAATTGTCACAAAAAACTCGCAATGTCCGGGAAAACTTCGTAAAGGGGATCAAAACTGACCAGTTGTATTTCGCTTATAATTTTTTTTTTATTTATGGGAAAAACAGAGGGTCATTTCAACGCGGATTTTAGGGTACTTACACTCAGTATATCTGGCTCATTTTTTGCATGCTCCTAGGTAAATGGCTTGTCCTTTAGGAAAAACTGTCGGTTTGACTCAAAGCCCTGGACTAGGGCTAGAACGTGACGGTGATTGAAAATCTCCTTATTTGAGCTATATAACGAAATAAATTCTTGCCGAACGACCCCCACCCCCCTTGATATTTTGTGAGGTGGTAGGAGAACATCTAGGGGTGTCAGAAAAAACTCGCCATGTCCGGGAAAAATTTGGAAATGGGTCAAAACTGACCAGTCGTATTTCCCTATATAATCTTTGTATTTTATGGAAAAAAACAGGGTAATTTCAGCATAAATTTTAGGATACTCAACCTCTATTTATCTGGCCATTTTTTTTTTGCATGCACCTCTATAGATGACTAGGCCGTATGGAAAAACCGTTGGTCAGACTCAAAGCACTCGACGAGGGCTAAAAAGTGACCGCGAGTGAAATTCTTATTATATAAGATATAATTGACTAACGATCTCCCTAATATTTTGTGAGGTCGTAGACCAACCTCGGAGGATAACAACAAAACATTATTCCCGTCGAAAAAAACCTTAGGGTCGTTTGATTTGTCCAGATGACGTATTTTCTTATAAACAATTGTTTGTGAAAAAGTAAACAAAGACATTCTTCATTCGTTCAATTTTCAAGGGAGGTAACTTTTTAAAAATAATTATTTTTCAATCAATTGTTTACTATTTTCAACATTAACAGAAAATGACGAAGTATATCATTTGTTTCAGTAAAAAATTAAGTTGTTAATTGAGATTTGCATCATAATTAAATAAGTTAATTAATTTTGAAAGTCAATGTAATATAAATTATGAGATATACTGTTCATGGAACTTTTGTCGTTCTAATTCCATTTTAGTCATACATTTCGAACTTTCCATTATTTTCTCTGAAAACGGACTTAAACAATAAACATCAACAACATTTTCTCTAAAATTAGCATTACTGTTTAAATTTAAGCTTTCCAGACCTCAGCCATCTCTAAATAATTAAGCATTCAAATTCTCAAATGTTTTTGAAAACCTAAGCGAAGCTAGGCAGTATGCCTAGTAAAATATAAGTGACCCGCGATCTCCATAGAAATAAAAAGTCGAAATGAATAAGGAAATTAAATAAACACTAAAATAAGATTTTCTTGTAGACTTTCCATATGAATTATTCTTGATAACTGTTTTAATACGATAAGTGAAATTACATGTTATTAACTAGCCTCAACATTCGCGCTAGAGTTCGCCAACCCTATGTCATTCTCGACATTTAATCTATTTCTTTGGTTTGTTTTCAATTGGAGAAATGTTGAAACTCAATTATCGCAAAGATATCTAGACCCAAAAAATGAACTAAAACTCGAAGGCAATCAATTTCACGTTTGAATATGAATGCTGCATACTACACCAACATTGTGTGAGCAGGTTTTCATTAAATACTTTACGTGACGCGGAATCATTCCACAAACCCAATAATTTATCTTGTAATTCATCGTAAATGTTGGCAACATCAAGGGAAGCAGAGAATAGACAACGTGTCCATGCAGATAATTCTTCTTTCAGCTCAGGGAAATTACGCCGCAGTTCGTTTTCAAGAGATTCAAGATGAAGTCATCTTTTAAATTCTTTATATCTATCAAGCAGAGTCATCTACCATACTGCAGAGTTTCTAAAACATGGCAATATTCCCAAGATTTATTTTTCTTCGGCATTTGTGCAGCTTTGATAAAAATGCCCCGAGATTATCATGAAAAGAGATACTATTTGTTCAAATGTTGTTGTTTGAATACATCTGCTAAGTAAGATACCCTCTCCAACCACGCTTTGTCGCTAAAGTATATCAAAAGATAATGTTTTCCTTGCACTTCCAAAAACAACTTGATTTCATCGTTCAATTAAAAACACGATAAATATTTCATTTTGACTGTAGTACAGAAAAGCTCTTTAAACAGAGGCTCCAGATTTAATATAATGTATGTCTTTTATTAGCAATGGAGTCGGAAGAGTCTTGCTGGCGAGGGCATACCGGTAAATCATGCAGTAGATCCCTTTGGTTAGGGAGCTACATTTTGACTCAACATAAATTGCGCAACATCCGTGTAAACCCCACAGAAGTTTTCCCATTCAAGAAACATATTTATTTTCGCCATAACTTCACAAAATAGCGACTCTTCTTTGCTATTATCTGAATGAACATATTTCACAAAGTCAAGCAACTGCAAACACGAACTCACGTCTGTTGATTCATTAAATTGAAATTCAAACAATTGGGAAAGGTTTATCCCATTCAATTTTTTAACATCGACAGACATGTTTACTACAAGCCGTTGAATGGTATTATTAGACAGATATTCGTTGCATCTTTACTGCACTGGAATCCCGAAGAATTAATTTCATCATCTTCAGTATGCAGGGTTTGATGAGATTTTCTCCTATTGTGTGAGGTTTTTTGCTTGGCATTTCCTAATGCGACTTCATATGATGCTTGCACTAATGCTGCGTTTTCTTGGTGAAATCTTCCTGTTCAATTAAGTCTCAGACGTTTGCAACTACAAAAAGAACTCCATATCTTTTTGACGTATTCCGAATGACTCGTCTCAAAATGACACTTTAGTTTTGAAGTTTTCACAGACTAATGACTGAGAACAACTTTGCACAGTTCGCATTATTTATTCTCAATGCCGAATTTTAGATATTTTTCTAAATATTTATGTTTATTTTAATGCTAGGGTTTAGTCTACCAGTTGGCGACTCCCCCTTCGACCCCCCAGAAAACCACCAGTTTGGGAACCCATGCTCTAGTTCCTAGATTGTTCACATGACACACCGCAATATTAATGCATGAAAGGTAATGCAACCAAAATATTCTCTCTTCTTACTGGTTTTCCCACGTGGAGTTTAGGGCCGTCGCTCCTACTCCCTCGTGCTCTTGGTTTTGTACTTTTCTCATTTCATGTTTAGTTACTGTAACATTGTAACTCATGTAATTCATAATATATCAATATTTCCAAGTATTTGTTACATCTAAAAATGCACATATAGTCTGCTCTTACAGCTGACCTACTTCTACGTGCTCTTGGTTTTATATTTGATGTAAGTCATTTTTATTTACTGCAACAATTTTGTAATTCATGTAAATATTATATCATTATTACAAAGTATGTGTTAATTCTATTAAAAGCGCATTTATCCTCCTCTCGTAGTTTTTAGAAGCTTATAGGACCTAATTTATTTACAGGCCCTAAACTGCGGCCGTTGAGTTGACCCGTAGCCATTAGACCTGCTCATTAAGTTTACTTGTCTTCTAGAAAACCCTTGCAAGACAAATGGTCATCAGACTTGGTTATTAGCATTGGTGCTGATTGCTGTTACTAGCTCCTGCAATTTCATTGAGTGCTCATCCTGCTTAAGACTTAGTTCACATACCAGAAGAAATATTATTTGATGCAATTTATTCCCCGTAGTGAAGTGGCGATGACCCACCTACCGGTTGAATTATATATATCCTGTAGGTAGGACACTATGATGATTAATTACACAATAATTATTATTGTTAACTAAACCCTAATAAATTATATAATGCTTTTCATCACCTACTATAAGCCATTTTTCTACAACTTGTTTATTAATAGATCCCATTGTACTACACTTTATTAATATATTACTTTCATCGACACAGTTGTGTCTGATTAGCTTTTGCAATCAATTAACTTTTATTTTAAGGAGTCTTTAAGTAGAAGACGTATAAGATCCGTTAGCATCAATTTCTGTTTATCTTTTAACACCAGTAACCTATTCTATTCTACTAATTATACACCTAAATGGTGCCTCAAAAGAAAATATGGAATGGTGGTAGACTATGGAAATTTTATTTTACTTATAAAAATTTTGCCTAAAACAAAACAGATTCTTAAATGTTTGTCAAATAATTGATCAGTTGACTATTTTCTAAGTAGTAAAATAGACATTTTTATTATTTGAAATTCGGTTCCATTAAAAAAAAATATAAATACACAAGGGAGGCAACCAATAAAGTGTAGAAATTTTTTTTCGTTATAAGTGTTACGCCCCTTAAAAGCTTAGGAATCGCGATGGATATTGACAACACATCCGTTTGTTCTGGTTAAAAGTAATCAGTTTATCAAGAATAGTCAATATATACTGTAGGCCTAATACATGACACACTTTAATATTGGGATTTTTTGTTTCAATGCTTCTTAAATGTAGAAGACTATTTTTGATTACTAACACAACATTTGGGGAGATCCATGTTTTAATATGAACCTGAGTTGAAGACACTAAAGCTAGCTGTTGGGTATAAACGGCTTTGACTATAGGTACTTTGACGAAAGGGGCTTTAACTATTAGTTCTTTGACCACAGCTGGACTTTGACCATAGGTGGGTTCACCATAATAGGTTATGCCGTAATAGGTGCATAACCTATGTTGTTTACGGTAATAGCTTTACACTCAAACGGATTATTTACTACAATATCACTTATCAATTATCTATTTTAATGCCCCAACTCCATCGATCAGTCACACGACTAAATAAATAATCTCTAAATAAAATGCTAACGTTTTTTTTAATATCTCGTATTGGTAACCTCGCAATCGCATCATTTCCACCATGGCTGTCGGTAGCTGTGTCATCCAATTTGGTGTCTTTGTTGTAGATTTAAGCAGTTTCCCTTGAATTAAAATATGGCGGATACCTGAGTGTATTGTTGATAATAGACGGGTGAATAGCATAAACACATTTAAACACAAAATTATATTTTCTTTATATACACATTTCATTGAGTCGCTTCCCTCATTACAGGGATATAAAAAATAAAATTTAAAAAATATATATCATATATTGTTACGTCCCCTTTCCATGTAATTTCGAACAAGTTTGGGAATTCGTAAACAAGAACAAGATGTAATGAAGTAATGAACTGTCACAATTAGCAACTTTTTCTACACGTAAACGAAACGATAAAAAATACAAAAACTATCATAAATACCGCTACAACATCTAACATTATAGCAATATAAATAGATAGTTATATTTCAACGCCAATGGTAGACAAATGTACAGAAAACCCTTGACGTTAAAATATCAGTTTCTGTTTATATTGCTATTTCAGGTACAACGCCTTTTTCCACCCCCTCTACACATCTAACACTATAAGGAGAACACTAAATACGAAGTCCTAAATGTAACTACCCTATTTCTCCCAAACGGTCAATTCAAGTCTAAGTCTACAGATATCCCGTGGGCTCCCTCACCTCATGAAACACGTCCCTGTTAGTCTACTAACGCTGTATTGTCTTGAACAGCCCGTCCACCTCCTAGCGTGAGGGACGGAGTGGCCTAACGGTAGAGAGCTGGTTGCTAACCTGTCTGTTCGAATTCGACTTTAAGTCAGTAGACCGTTGCATCTCATAATAATTCTAGAACTGGTGATGTTTATTGTCAGTCAATTTATTTTTTAAAAAGTAGAATTTAAAAAAACACCGCACGCTTTAAAAAAAAAGCTAGACAATCGTATTAAATTTTTAATAAAGCAATACATTTATTTTGATACAAGTAGAAATAACTTTAACAAGTACTTTCTTAGGATGGCAGCTGTGTTAATAGCAAACTTAGTGTCTTAACATTGTTGTCCAAAGTTAATTTCATACCGTTGTATTGATTTAGGTCTTAAATGTGATTTTATATTGAATTATCTTTAGTATTTTACCACAGTATGCAAAAATATATTCATATTTAAGCCATATTAATTATTTAAGTTACCGCTACATTACTAGTACCGGGCGAATTACGCTAAACTTATTAATTACCGACGCAACTCATATAAAGTACCATATCTTAAATTTAGATAACTTAATGTTTTTTTTTTCCCCGATGACTTGGATCGGTATTTTTCTCTATTTCCGATTATTCAAAAACCTTCAGAAAATGATAATTATAAATTTATATTATCATATTGTAAGAACTTTCCGCCTGAATGAATTTTTTTTCTCGAAAAAAAAAAGAGGTTTTATCATAAGCTTCAATATTTCCGTATCCCAATTACAATTTGACATCTCAGCTCATACTCTTTTGTAAGATAATATAACAATGTTTATTTAATTGTATCGCCGTCGCTGTTTTTTTTAAAGGATGATTGCCATCCGAAAACGTTTGAGAACCTGTGGTATAAATAATTGATCCTCTCTTTGGTCGTTTTTGTTCTCGTTCATTTCTATAAACAAATTCAAAATTGTATATCTAACAACTATTTAATTACAAATCTCTTATTTTCTGATTTCTAATAAACAATCTTATCGTTACTTAATTTATTTTTTAGTTATTACAGTATGTGCACGAGTACATAATTTGATCACCGTGTATGATTTTCGAACTCCCCTTTACTAATTATTTAAGTAATAAACCGGGAGTGATCTCCATTAAAAATTTTCGAATATTCTTATATAAAACATTAGGGGGTGGTAACTCTATAGACATGATTTTAATCCATTTTAAATACTTCAACTTTTTAAAAATAGAATAAAATCTCGTGGAAAATAATTGCACACCAAGTGAACGCCAAATAAAATGTGCATAATAGTGCGAAATATTATTAGTTCTTTATAAATTTACATTAGCTTTTGAGAAATCAGAAATAGCGTAAATTACTCAAAATTTGAAAGAAGGTAGAGAATTAGATCTTTTATTTACGTGTGAAATTTGATTTACATATTTGAAATAGTACTCAAGTTATAGGCTTTTGAAAAATTCAAAGTAGAAAAAGTACTACTTCCGATTATCGGAAATCGCTCAAAAGTTTATACGGATCTATGATTTTGATAAAATACGTATATATTAAATTTCATTAACCTAGCTGTAACAGTACTCAAGTTATCGTGTTTACACACACACATACACACACGCACAGACATACGGACAAGATTGCAATACTAAGTTTTTCCGACTCAGTGAGGTATAAAACGTCGAGATTTGCAAAAATCTCGATTTTTTTTTTGCACGATTACAAGACTTTCTCTATAATGTGTATATACGAGAAAGTAAAAAACAAAACAGCCTACAAATAAAAGAAGAATAACTGTAGGTATGTTTACATTTCAAAATTAATTTATTTACAATTGCATCAAACATGCTTTGATATGATGCACAACGGATCTCTATAGAAACAAACATCTAGTCAAAAGAATTTCATTCAGCAGTGGACAGAGCGTTATTAATAATTCGGGAAAAGCGATTTTGTTAAGTTGACCTTAAACATAGGCAATAGCCTTCAATAAATAAAAATGCAAATCTACATAAATGAAAAGCTATATGTACAATATTGGCGAAATATTGAAAATATTGTCATGCATCAGGAAATTTATTACAATGTTTTATTTTTGCGTTAGTGTTTTATAATCATGGACTTCGTAGCTTCATCTCCACGAGCTCCATAGAATCTCTATAGCCTGTTATACCGCCCCAGTTAATGCCTTCACCATGATCTTTACTCGCCCATACACCGTTAACGTTCACCCGATGACATCCGTCGTTATACCACCAGCCGCCTTTATTACTCACAGCACAGTTACCAGACCATCCATCATTGTCTTTATCTAAAGTGGTAAAAGCAGTTCCATTGTGATAACTAAAGTTATCTGTAGCGTTGCCTGTCTTGAATGTAAACTTTATCCTATACAAAGCTGCTTCACTTTCAACCGTCACATTACTGTACACTGCGTAGTATTATTTACCTTTATATTTCATGTCAAATCTCAGATCACTGTAGCCCTGTAAATAAATATGTTGTAATTATGTTTTAAAAATTATAATTTTTACAATATAAAGCTTAGAGTATTATAGTTAGTCGTCAAAAAAACAACAAGTGTAAGTTGTTTTTTTTTTAATTATTGTGCAAATATTTGATTTTCTTTTAAACAGGAAAAAATAATAACGAGTAATTAATGGTTAGTATATCCTTTAACGGTCATCGGAAATTAAGTATGATTTACATCTTTAAATATCAATAACATAAAAATATTTTGAAAGAACTTTTGTTTGTAATGTTACAAAGCCTTGACCGTTTTCAGAAAAACAAAGACATATAAAGAAAGTTTACCGATGAGAATAGAGCTGAACATATTATGTATTTGTATGTATGTCAAGTTGAGTGAAATCGTGAAACTCATTTATAATTTTATTTAGCATCGAACTTACGTTTATTGTAAGATTTGAAATCCAGTCATTTCCAAGCCAGTAATCTCCATTCAATGTCCCAAAACCTTTTTTGTAGTCGCTCCAGTTTCTGATAAAACTCACGTCACCTTTAACACGCCTCTAGATGATTATAATTTGAGAAAAATACGATAAGTAATGAACCATAAGAGAAGAGACTTACGTATTTTCCAAATGCAAAAATCTATTTAATAAAACCTTGAACTATATCTACAATATAAGCTGAATTACCTAATACATTGCGCATTGAATTTCACAGTTAAATTATTTTTAAACGCATACCAATATTAACGTATATTTTAATAAAAGACTATAAAATTATTATTAAATAATTTCTATATTTACGATAGCTGTTTAAAGCTTGACTAATCTATAAGCTTGCATTTGCAAATTAACTTAAAATGTTTTCAAATTAAAGGACATACATCTTGAATAGAATGTCATTTTTCCTTAAGCTAAACCCTTAAAATCCATATTATCATGAGCTTCTGAGTTAAATGAACACACACCAATCTCTCATTAAAAAATTAAAAATACGAATATGACAACAAAGTAAATTTTATTATTTTACTGAATATTTATGATATAAATATGTATGTCTATAATTTTACTTAGTACGCTAGTCCACCTAGCAAGTAAAACCTACTTTCAGACATGGGTAGGTGTGGAGATGTGTAGAAACCTACATATTGAATTTTTTCAAATCGTCATTTCATCGTAAATTGCAAAAGATAAACAAAACAAAATAATTATTTTTTTGGCGCAGGAATTTACCGCTTGGCAAACAGTACTAGTTACGAACTTTTTACTTTCTCATATACAGAGTATAGAGGAAGTATTGTAATCGTCCCCAAAAATCACATACAATTTTCACCTGGGTTTTGAAATTCCGTCCGTATGTCTATGTGTATGTGTATGTATGTATGTATATGTGTGTCTGTGAACACAATAACGTGAGTACCCATATAGCTAAGTTGATGAAATCGCATATATTAGTATTAGGCTATATCGAATTTGTAGTTCTGTATCAACACTTCAGCTATTTCCGATAATCGGAAGTAAAACTTATTTTTCGTATGAATTTATAAACTACTAATTTTCCACACTATTATACACATATTTTTTTGCCGTTCACTTGGTGCGCAATTCTTTTTTCTACAATATTTTAATCCCTTTTAAATACCTTAAGTAATTAAAAATGTATTTAAAAATTATGTCTATATCCTTAGTAGCCATTCCCCGTAGTGTTATATATGAATATTTGAGAACGTTTAGGGGAGATCACTCCCTCTTTAATTAGTTTAGCATTTAATTAACAGTATCGCAGATAAATTTAACGGTCTGGCGGGTTAAAAGTTTAAAACATGTTTACATTTTGTTTAAATAAAATAATCTGCTGAAATGTAAACTAAAATCTATAACAAAAAACATTACCTGAATGACAATCCATCCTCCACCATCTGTTTTGGTATCACACAAAGCTAGTTTGCTTTCGATTAGTTCAACACTCATGTATTGTAGTAGACATGAGTTCTCGTTTTTGAAACACTGACAATTAAATCATTATAAATTATTATTTAAACATTAAGTCATGTTATTTTTTATTAAGTATGTTTCTTTCATTTAATTATTGTATTGTGTAGCATATAACAATGTATATACGATATTTAAAATATGTAGCTAGAATACATTCGTCAGCTTTTAGCGGATATGCATGTTACGGTAACGATAAGAAGACAAAGTAAAATTGTTTAAGTAATAATAATTTTAAAGAATGGTTCAGTTAAAAAAAACAAATGAAAACTTACGTGATTACGGTAAAAGAAGAAAAAAATACGAATCGTTACCTGTTGTAATAATTTGAAAAGAAACATGTTTTTGTCTTGTATAATAACTTCTTTGAGACCGGCTACCAAATTTAAAGTTGAATTAATGTTCCCTTGTGTGGCAATTTTTTTACTATTCGTTTCCATCTCATTTAATCTAATACTGAGTTGATCTATTTGGCTCTGTGTGTTGGCTAACTTTGTTTGGATTGATTCGTTTAAAACAGACAAATTATTTTCTCTAAACTCTGTGTTAGAATTTAATTTATTTTCCATAATCTGTAATGTTTTCTTTATCTTATCATCCATCATGTCCTCAACTGTAGAAAAACTTATCTTTTTATAACTGTTATTTAACTCTGTCTCTGTTGGACCAAAACTTTTGTCTGTGCTGAACTTATCGCCGCCAGAATGTGACATATGTAATGACAATGTCATGTCTGCACCTTTCAGTCTATCTGGGTCTTCAAACGATTTGAGAAAATCGGCCATTGTGTCAACAGATTTAACATAGTTAGATGTTTCAGCTTTCAAGTTCATTATTATAAAAGATTCACGTGACTTTCTTTGTAAACTCTCTGTCTGTTTTCCAATTCTATCAATATATCCTGTTGTATTGACATAATGTATTTCACATAGGAAAATGCAACCATTGCAGTCTGAACTATTTGATAAAAAAATATCCAATTCAGAAAACGTTTTCGATATTTTCCCCTCTACTCTTGTTCCAGCTCTTTTATAATCTTGAAACTTTGAATCTGATTCTGAAATAGACGCCACCAAAATCTTCCCCTCTGGAATACTGATCCTATAGACTGACATGTTGACAAGAGCTGATATCTGAGTGTCTTCTCTTATGTTTTCTGTACACTGGAGTTGTGCACAAAATAAATCCTTGCCGTGGTAAAAATATTTTCTGTTCATATCGATCTTTACACCTGAAAAAAAAAACATCAATAAGGATGTTGGCTATGTTTGGTATTTAAACCTTCCAAGAAAAACTATAGGATTTGTGTGATGATAATGATTGATATTTTAAGTATTTTAAAGCAAAATTTAAGACAAAATATATAGCATGTAGCTGATTGGTGTTGAGGAAAAGAAGCTTTAAGACAGTTGTTAAAGTCTGGACTTTGTGACAACTGGCTGTCAAGACCAACCGTCCAGTGTTTAACATAAAGGTCAAGTCTGTATTTATATATGGAGCACATACTCGTAGAACTTATCACTAACACATGAAAATAAAAAACTTTCTGCAAGCCTGAAAATTATATTATTAATACATTGGTCTTAGGTGTCAGCAATAAAAATCTATGCAGGCAGTCCACCCAAAGGATGGTCGAAGAATAAAACGAAAAGAACAGATAGCGATGGATCGACCACACTATGAGGAAACCAGCATCCAACATCACCAGAAAGGTCTTTTTTTATAGAAATGACATTGCAAAATAAAAAAAAAAAACGTTCATCCCAGAAATTCCCGGAGATGGGAATTGGAGACAAAAGCCAAAAAGATATGCTGTAACTAGGGACAAATAGATACTGAGCCTCAGGATCGGTATGATTGGCTATATTTTACTTGCGCCTATTCCTCTGGATGGAGCCACAAGCCTAAGCATACAAGCACTACTAAGGCGGGGAAAATTTATAAATGTCATTACATTAGTATGCTAAATGGAGGCTTACCCATATGAAATGGAGCATCCCGAAAATTTAAAATCAAATTTAAAATTAGATGCGTTAATATTTAAGTGCTACATCGCAACAATAAGTATATTCAAAAGGTACTAACAACTATGCGAATTAATAAACCGGGCGTGGTGATTTCCCCTAAACTTTCTTGTAAATTACATTTTGAACACAGAATGGAATTGAATAGAAAAAATTGCGCTCGAAAATAAATACAAATTACGCGTGTAGAATAGAGCCAAGAATTTGAGTTTTTATAGAGGAAACACAGCTTAACTCTTTTAAAGGTGATTATACTTAAATTCAGCCATATTCAAGATGTTGTGTCATCGATTATCGACTTTTGTTAAAGATTTTCGATATATCGGTAAGGAAATAGCGTGAAAAAATACTTCTGTTCACCTGAAATCATTCAAGATTTTATAGCATCAAGACAAAAGGATCGTTTATCTACTTTTTCAATTTGGTCAATAAACTGAAAAGGGTAATCAAGTTATCGTTATTTTTTAAAAAGAAATAGACGAAAGTGACACTTCCGGTCATTGGAGTTTACTCAAAAATTGTTAGAGATTCAAATGTAGGATTTTATACTCATATATGTATATTCATCTACCTAACCGAAACAGTACTCAAGTTATAGTGTTTACATGAAAAGAGAGTAAAGTACTCCATCCGTTTTCTTTTAAAACGTGCACAATTTGAAGGATACATAAGAAATCTGAAGCGTAGTAAGTACAACATTCGGTTCCGGAAAACGCTCAAACTTTGATCCAAAACTACAAATATGATAAAATTCTTAGATATGAAATTTGTTAACAAATTTGAAGCGGTACTCAAGTTATCGTGTTTACATCAGATACACAGACAAACAGACAAAATTAGAAAATAACTGTATTTTTCTGACTTAGTGAGATGCTAAAGTGTCAATTTTTATTTTATTTTTTATTTTTTGCACGTTCTCAATACTTTGTATGCCACAAAGTAAATATGCCGATTTACATTTTAGAAAAATGTTTTTTTTTCTAGATTCAGAGGTGTTTGTTTTCAGATATTTGAATCTTGTGTTCTCATGAATGTAATTGATAATTACCTTTATTACTGTTATTGAAAAAAAATAGCAATCGAATCTTACCTGTACTAGAAATAATATTCACAGCGATGAACATGTACAGCACAGGGAAAATCATTGTGGTAGCAATGTCCAATTATTCTAGATAAATAAATAAACACAATATTTTTTAAAAGCCAACTTCACTTTGACGACTGCAATTTCAACTAACGATTCGAAAACGTGGGCTGGTTTTATAGTCATTTTGTTTTCTTCTTTATTTTTTCAACACTATCTTTCCGACGTCAATAAGCTAAAAGGGGTAAATTGGATTTATTTTTAACTTCCAAATTCTTTCCTAAAATATTTACCCTGCAAAGAGCCAAACACTGGTACACTTTTAGATGTATAATTTTCTTCACATAGACTTTTTAACATTTTTTTACCACTCCGTTCTTTGCCAAAACTCAAATGTTTCGCTTACACAAAAAATGTAAAATACTAGTTTAAAAAATAAAATTCTGCATGTAGTTGGAGATTTATGTGACATAAGTGCGTTGAAACAGCTCTCGTCGAGATAAAAGGGGAAACAAAAAACGTAGAAAAGAACTTTAAAACGTAAATTGATTTAGCCAAGGCAAAAAAAAAACATTTTGTAGAAAATGAGGGTTCAAAACTTGCGGGTTATAATACAAACTTCAAACCTGTTTACATCGTTAGATGAAAATAACTTACTGGTGCAAAGTATTCTACATTAAGCACTTCTGAGCTTGTGGTTGTTGTTTACAGTAGTTTTTTTCAAAGACATTTTTTAAACCTGGGGTGCATTTTTTTTTATATTTCCCATACAGTAAAAAGAATTATTTACCTCCAAACACATTGCGGGTATTAAAAATATTTTTCTTTTCGTTATGAGTTTTGTTGATTTTTGAAGAAATGAGACAGGCCAAGATGAAGTTAGGAAAAGTCAAGTCCGTGCTGGAAGAGAGCTGAATGTTAAGGGCAAAAAAATATTATATTAAATAGGATTCACATCCAGACGAGAAAATGTTTAAAGTTTATTTATCATCAATATTAAAAGAATATTATTGTTGGAAGATTAGGCTGATTGGTATCTTTTTTTTCAGTTATAATCATGAAAATGTTGACGTGATTTAGCCACTATAGGAAAACAAAATGGAACTATTTATTCACGTTGCTGTTTGTGTCACATCAGAATACATGTAAGTTCTACCACATGATGCCACTTTAGAGCATGAGTATTAGACTAGATCGGTGAACTGTACATGAGGAACTCTTAAATCCCTTCTCGATGCCATGTGTAATAAGTAATTGTTACGCTATCGCTTCAAGAAGTTTTCTGTGACATTTTTAGACACTAGTCGAGTACCAGAACACTTGATGGACTCGTTGGTTGATCAACGAGATGTATTATTTTAGGATATAACCAGCCTGCTGTTTTAGGACATTGCCAACCTGCTGTTTTAAAACATGGCCAACCTGCTATTTTAGAACATGACCAACCTGCTGTTTTAGGACATGGCCAACCTACTGTTTCAGTACATGGCCAACCTGCTGTTTTAGGACATGGCCAACCTACTATTTTAATACATGGCCAACCTGCTGTTTTAGGACATGGGAAATAAAAAAATAGATAAAACTTAACATTATTGCAAGTATCGAGAAATATCAATGGGTTAATAGTACTACAATGGGGCAGCATGGTAGTACGATAGTGTCCATGAAAGTAAAGTTGGCATAAGTTGAAATGACCACACTATACCTTGATTTACCCATGTTACTCTACTTTATCTGTCCCGTTCATCGGCATTCGGCAAGTCTCAACGTGTAACGAGCGCAAAATTTTCTTTTTCTTCGAGAATTACCAAAAAGAAAAAAAATATGGCTTATGAATTGCAAACATACAGCTTCAAAGAAAATAAATTAAAACTTTAAAATACATTTCAGATGAGATCGAATATACGGCCTGTAATTCCAAAAGACCATTGAGATATTGTGCACTGGCAAATCCACTCACATCGTCTGGGCAGCCCTATGTTCAGAAGAGCCAGATGTTGCCATGTATAAGCCCCCTATCTAAACTGTTGTTTGACCCAAGGGACAGGACGTTACTTGTCCAACTTGAATACCATGGTACAGAGGCGTAGCGACCCTTCCCGGCGCCCGGGGACAAACTTTTCGATTTGCACCCCCCCCCTCGAGATTTCGATTTGCACCCCCCTCAAACTTTCGATTTGCACCCCTCTCAACCTTTAAATTTGTTTTTCCAACCCATTTTGGCGCCCCCTAAGGTCGGCGCCCGGGGACATATGTCCCCCCCCCGCCCCCCCCCCCCCCCCTCGCTACGCTACTGCCACGGTATCACAGGAGCTGTAGAAGGAAACCAGAGCTGGTGAAACTATCGCCTAAAAGGGGCTCCACCCTATTTGATTTCTGAGCTCGAGGGTAAGAACTCTGAATTTTCTAGTTAGAAGCTACTCGTTCATTCGCCCACCACTCCGACCATAGATCAAATATAAAAGCTTTAAAAACATTTCTTTCATTCGGGATCTTGTAGAATAACTAACATAATTATAGTGCAATGAAAATTAACAGTGCAAAATACCAGCTATATTTTGTGCCGTACAAATATTTTATTACTGAGGTGTATAAGATAAATACAGATGATAAGAAGTTTAAATGACATCAAGTGTAAGATAAACTTGAGAAAATCACTGACTGTTTTAAATATAAAATATAAAATGTATTTAAATTAATTCAGTTTTTTAATGTCACCGAATTTGGTTGTTAGCATTGTTGTAAGGTTTCAACCAGAATAATTTTTCGTTCCGCTATGACAGAACACGGCGCTTAACTCTCATTTTTACGAAAGTAATTAATCATTTAAAGAGAATCATCGCGAAATGTATGGCTGGTAAATAGCGTGCAATTCGGTCATTACGTTAAAAAGATTATTAACTATAGTTTTAAAAAAAGTAAGTGAATATATAATTATGTTATTGTATACAGAGTAGAGAGAAAATATTGTAAGCATGCAAGAAATCGGATTCAATTTTAAATCTTTTCAAAATTGATTTTTTTTAAAATCCCATCTGTATGTGTGTGTGTGTGTCTGTATGTCTTTGTGTATGTCTTTGTCAGTTTTTCCAGACATCTCTTCGGGGGGGGGGGGGGGGGGGAGAAAGGCGGCTCCGCCCCAATCGAAGAAAGTCTACCGCCCCCCCCCCCCCGAAAGATATGGAAGTAATATAGAAAGTCTACCGACAACCCCCCCCCCCCCCGGGTAAAAATCATTATTTTATTGTTAACAACTGTTTCATTCATTTATAAACTTTACATTTTCTGTTTTTTTAAAAATAATCCTATTGTAACTGTAATACTGTTAGTCTTGACAGTATTTGCAATATATGTGTACGATATCAGAATTTTACTCAACTTGAATAATATAGTTACTCCCCTTTCCAAAACATGCACGTAAAACTGATACAATAAAATAGTTTACAAATAAAAGTAGAACAACTGTAGGCATATTTACATTTTGAAATTTTATTCACTATTTTATCTAACAGATGTCTGCAGAAACAAACATCTAGTCAACAGAGAATTTCACTCAGCAGTTGACAGTCTGTCATAAGTTTGGGGAAGCGGTTTTGTTATTTATTTGATTTCAACTTAAGCTCTGAGCAATAGTTTTTATTGTTTAAAAATTTTCATCTACATACATGTAAAGCAGTGTTTGTAAAGTCGGCGAAATATTGTAAATTTAGCATGAACCAGTCGGTGTTAACACAAGGTTCTGTTTTCGTGTTATTATTTTTTTTTATAATCACGGCCGTCGTAGTTTCATCTCCACGTGCTCTAGAGAATCTGTAAAGTCTGTAATACCGTACCAGTTAATGCCTTCACTATTATCTTTACTAGCCCATACACCGTTTACGTTCACTTGATGACAATCGCTATACCACCAGCCGCCTTTAAAACTATCAACACAATGACGAGTTGAATCTATATCATTATCCCTATCTAGAGTAGAAAAAGCCATTCCATTGTGATAACTAAAGTTGTCTGTAGCGTTGCCTGTCTTGTATGTAAATTTTATCCTATACAAATCTGCTTCATTTCCCACCATCACTTTACTGTACACGGCGTAATAGGATTTACCTTTATATTTCATGTCAAACCTCAGCTCACTGAAGCCCTGTAAATAAATTAATTAATTATGACAACACTGAAATGAATTTTAACAGTTTTAAGTTTAATTGATTAAACAATACAGTTCAGTAAAGAAACAATTGAATGCAGTCATACCAGCTAGTGAATGTTTCAATGTGCTTGCTAATGTTTTTTTTTTAAACATGAACAAGTATACAACAAGATCTATGATATAACATTTCCCCACCCGTCCTTAATCAAATATCATCATTACTATTATTATTATTTTATCATGAAAAACATGGTTTGTTGTCACAAAATATTCTTATTTTCATTTTACACACATTGCTATATATAAATAAACTTCTTTTAAAATGTTTCATTCTCTTGACATTACCGCGTATTTTACGTTTTAGTTGTATAATCCCATTGCTGCATGTAGAGATGCTACTTCTTGTTTAGTAAATTATGTTGATATCATTATCACTTTGCCCTTGTAGGGCGATATTATCTGCGTATGCTAGATGACAGTGTTGTTGCAAATCCTGCTAATTTTATGGAATAAATTTGTTTCTCTTAGGAATTATTTTCTATCGTTTCACTAGTGTGGAGGTTTTTAATTATCCTCTCCTTTGTTATATAGCACACAAGATATTCAACTGGCCACCAAATTTGAACCTCTCTTGATTATTCGCCCTACAACTTTATTTTGCATCAAAGTAGCTGCTAATTCAAATATCAAATGTAAAGCCCCGTATCAATGTTGGAGCATTTTCATGTAACATGAAGTGGTACTTACTCTACTTCTGGTTTCTTAAAAGCCAAGAACTTGCAAACCGTTTAATTTTGGTGAACTGAAACGGTACTTAAATTATCGTGTTCACAGACATACACACAAACAGGCAGACAGACAAACACAATGAGATAGTCCCAGTTTTTTACACTCCAGTGAGGTGTACATCGTCGAGATTCATCAAATTTCTGTTTTAATTTTTTTGCATAATTACAATGCAGCCTGTACACTTCTTATACGAAAAAGTAAAAATTAAAGCATTAAAAAATTAATAAAATCATTGCTATAGCCCGAGTGTACTGAAAGTGCCACCATCCTTACTGTTACATTAGAACATACGAGAAAGTTTAGAGGAAGTAACTCCCGCTTTCTAAGCTCCTGGTTAATTACATTCTTTATCAACCGCTGGTGAGAGGCCGATAATGGTTGTGAACGTGTTAAAACATTGTGTTTGTAAAGAGAGGATGTTTTTTTGTTCACTTGAATAAGGGTGGATACCTGGTTTCTAGACGTATGTAGATTATTAAAGTTGATTGAAAATGTGTTGGTATATGGTGTTAGTGATATACGTTTTTTAAATACAAATTTATATTTATATACTATATTAACGTTATATTTTGTTGAGTTTGACTAGTTTTATCACTTATATCAGAATGACTAATGCGCCTTCCAAGACCAACCATCATAATAATGTTATCGGTGGACATCCACATCAAAATAAAAGTAATTGATAAAAGAATAGGACAGCAATACATTTTTTAGCAATTTTTTGGAGCTATTGCTTCAAATTTGAAGATTAAATATAGCCTACGTTTTGTGTGAGGTTTGAGATCCAGTCATTTCCCAGCCAATAATCTCCAGCCAAAAATCCAAAACCAGTTTTGTAGTCGCTCCAGTTTCTGGTGAAATTTACGTCACCTGACACACGTTGCTGAATCAAAACAAAAAATGACAAATGTATAAAACAATTGAGTTGTAGGAAATACCCTCAAACATTTCATTTAAGAAAGAAGAAGAAGACATTCACGAACCTTAACAGAACAACTCACAACACGTAGCAAGAGACATTCATATGGTGTTTTGATGACGCAATCGTACAAATAGTAAAATAAAGTCAGCGGGATTGAAAACCATTGGTCAAACCTGAAAGACTCAACCAGAAAGATTTTCATATGAGATAAATCAGGATCAGATTCACGTAAAGAAAACATTTCGTTTTAGGCAGAATCAAATCTAGAAACTTTTAGAGCAAGTCTTCAGTTGTCAGAGGAAATCGTGTGGCGTAGTCGAGTAGTAATTGATTACACAACTTAGAACTAGTCAGTTAAAATAAAGCTACTAATTTTTAGGGAGAATATCTAACAATTTTTAGCGCTATTTACCGATGTTTTCTAATTTTTATATTTAATATTTGAGTTGTGTAGAGGAATAAACTTCGTTATTTTTAATCACATAGAGATAAGCTTTGTGTTGTATTCAACTAAATAAATACAAAACAAGTTCATCCTCACAAAATAAAGATTGTGTGTAGTTATCTGGTTAATATATATATATATATATATATATATATATATATATATATATATATATATATATATATATATAATATATATATATATGGGATAGACGCGTGGAACACTTGCATATTGTAAAAAGCGACTTGATTGTCAAATTGTAATATTCTTAAAGTGCTTACTTTTGTAAAACAATCAAAATTGATGATTATAAAACTCAATATTGATAATTTTAAAAATTCAATTTTAATTTTTCATTGACTTATCGTGAAAAGAACAAAATCAAAATACATGTATAACCCTTTACAAAAATTCCAATTTTGTTTGAAAAAAGTAAACAAATTACTTCCATTTGTAACAAATACATGTAACGGACACCAATCTATCAGCCAGATAGATGGCGAACGCTCCCGGATTCGTTCAACTGATTATACACAGATGGCGACAAGCCTAAATAAAAGAAAGTTAACACACTAATTCACTAGGACTCGTAATTGATGTCTAGGGGAAACACTAGAGAAACTACTGATGCCAACAATACATTTAATCTGCATATAACTTGTAATGAGTGTACAAAGTCGTGGCAGAACACTAGATTTATACAGGAATAAAATAGATTTACAGAATGAACAAAACCCAACTTACAATTCGTGGGAAAAAATAATATGATACACTATCACAGCTTTTAACACTTCAGAAAAATCACCACAGTATACACAACGCTGCTATAAGCATAAAGAATTACTTAACCACAAGTAATATAAGAATATGCTACTTAAACAACTTAGTTCTACACGGCAACACACAGGGCTTATGTCTCTCAACGACGTCTGATCAATGAACTGCCTCGAGACACCTGTGCGCAGTCTATTTATAGACTTAGGCAACATGGAAGGTCACCTTCAAATCATAAGGCCATTGGTTGTGGTGGTCATCTGGTCTGAATCAATCAATCATATCTTGACGGAAAATTTCTGAGTCTAAGACTCTCTTAGTAAGACAGCGGAAAAAACCGGTCATTGCACCACAGACCATATATGGTATTATAACAACTGTCAAAAATAAAATTACCAGACCTAAGTAGGTCACATACATGTGATTAAAAAAATAAAGACGTTTTTTAAATTTAATTTGATGTTTGTTTTTGCGTTAGTATTTGTGTTTGCGTTTTTGTTAGTTTGCGTTTCTGTTTGCTCTTCTGTTTGCGTTTGTGTTTACGATAGTGTTTGCGTTAGTTATTGGTTGTTTTATTTTGGGTTTGTATTTGTGTTTTACTTTGCTTTTGCGCTTGTGTTTGCATTTTAATTTTTGTTGGGGTTGGTTGTGATTAGGGTTTAGTTTATAGATTTGTTAGGTTTAGGGTTAAGCGTCCTACTGACGGTTCTTTACAGATAGGGTTTTCATAGAGGCCAGTGCAGGGCCTGGCAGGTATGGCTAGTACAATATATTTTAGTCCTAAAACAATGAAAATGTTGATGTGGTACATTATCTTTTAAAATATTTAGAAACATCTTTTGATAAATGAAATTGGAATTCATTTCAATTAGCTTTCTGAAAAGAAAATATTTTTATTTACCACATGTCATTCATGAAAGAAAAAAAATAGAACTGTATTAATTTTTAGAAACATTGATATTAAAATGCTAATCAATACCTGTATGACAATCCATCCTCCACCGTCTGTTTCGATATCACACAAGGCGAGTTTATTCTTATTTAGTTGAACAAAGTTTTGTTTGGGTAGACTTGAGTTATCGCTCCTAGCACACTAGAAAAAAATGAAATCAAATTAACATTTTACAACTTAAAGATATAACAAAATCTTGAACTACATTACTTTCATTTTCCGCAAATCAATTTTTTACATGTATCACTAAAAAGAATAAACTAGAAATTTAGTAAAAACATAAATTTTGCTCTTTTAAATAATAATTATTCATTTAAACTTTATTTATGTAGAAACGTTATTCAGGTACAATACGATTAACTAAAGACAAATTTCTTTCGAATACCATAAAAGTTTCTTTATATAAAATTATTTTTTAAATTAAAAGGATTGGCAAAAGCAACTGTCAAAAAGTTTGAATGTTCTTTTCAATTTTTACCTGTTTTGTTAATTTTAAATAGAATTGGTTATCGTTGTACTCGTCAATAAATCCTTGCAAAGTTTTGTTGAGACCCTCTACCAAATTTAATGTTGAACTGATATATTCTTGTGTGATTGTTTTCTTTAAATTTGTTTCCATCGCATTTAATCTGATACTGAGTTCTGTCTGGTTCTGTTTGTTGGCCAACATTGTTTGCATTGATTCGTTTAAAACAGCCAAACTATTTTTATTTAACTTTATTTTTGAACTGAGTTTACTTTCCAACATCTGTAAAGTTTTGTTTACATCAAGAGTTAAATTCTTTATCACATCATCCACCATTTTATCATCGAGGGCATAGGAACTGATCTGTTTATAATTGTTATCTGATGAATCAAAATTTTGGTCTGTGATGAACTTATCGCCACCTGAATGTGACATCTGTAATGACATTGTCATGTCTGCACCTTTCAGTCTGTCTTGGTCTTCAAACGATTTGAGAAAATCGGCCATTGTGTCAACAGATTTTACATAGTCAGAAGTTTTAGCTTTTAAGTTCATCATTAGAAATGTGCCACGTGATTTTCTTGGTAAAATCTCCGCCTGTTTCCCGATTCTATCAAAAGATCCCGTTGTATTAACATAATGTATTTCACATAGGAAAACGCCAACATTACAATCTGAGTAATTCGAGAAAAAGATTTCCAATTCAGAAAATGTTTTCGATATTTTCCCATCTACTCTTGTTCCTGTCTTTTTATAATCTTGAAGCTTTGAATCTGATTCTGAAATAGACGCCACCAAAATCTTTCCCTTTGGTTCACTGATCCTATAGACTGACATGTTGACAAGAGCTGATATCTGAGTGTCTTCTCTTATGTTTTCTGTACATTGGAGTTGTGCACAAAATACATTCTTGCCGTAGTAAAAACATGTTTTGCTCAACTCTATTTTTAGACCTAAAAATAAATAAAACACGTGTTCTTTTTTTTTAAGATTCAAATGAATAAAATAATTCAAATTTTTGTGGGGCATCTAAGCAGAAACAAATTTCCTCTTTTCCTCTGTCAGAATAACTAAAACAATTCGATGACTCGTAAATAAGGATTGAAGGAAATCAATTATCAGTGATATCTAATCTTAAACTTCCTTGTGACTAAATTAGAGCAGCTTTTTACATTAAATTCTGGATATCAAGAACTGAGAAGTACTATTATAGAAAGTTGAAGATAGTGGAAATGTGCTTGCCATTTACTATCTTCAATCGAGAGACTACTTTAAAACATAGGAAAGTTGAGATAAACGCCCACGATCTGGTGAAGCTTTGTACACCCTTCTTGGGCTCCAATTGTTTGTAATGACGGTCACGAAAGCGGATATAAAAAAACATAGTTTCTGAGAGAATTATTGGTATTTGAGAGGATTTTTGGTATCTGAGAGATTATTGGTATCTTAGAGGATTACCGATATCTGAGAGATTATTAAAATGGTTTGATCCGATGAAATATACCAAACATTTTGAATTTATCATTTAAAATGGGACGTGACGTGCGGCTAAATATTTCAAGTAATGCAGCATCGCAAAAATCAAAAGTGTGGAAACTGCCACTAGGTTTTAAAACGTATTATTTTCAATATGTAAAAATAAAAAATAAAATTAATTTTGTCACCGATTTGCACGAGAGCGGTTCGTTTTAGGACATAATGACATGCTCTCTACAATGCAAAAAAGTTTTTTTTTTTTTTGTTTTGTTTTTGTTTACAGTTAATATGAAATAAACACAAGAAAATCCACACAAATTAATAAACAAAATAATTATCTTATTAAAATTGCATTTGGGTTTTAAAATCTTTTTTAACAAACATTTTTCTAATTTTTTATAAATAAAAGTAAGTTATTATAAAAACATTATAATGATTAATAATTATAATTAGACAATATATTTTGTAAACTCATTTATGTGAAATGTTTACGTTTATATAGAATTTACATTGACTTACCTGTGCTAGAAATAAAATTTACCGCGATGAATATGTACAGCACTGGGAACTTCATTGTGGTAGTTAATTATATTGATTAAAAAAAATAAGAATTTACAAAAACAAAGGACTTCACTTTATCAACTTGCACTCAACTAACGAAACAAAACTGCGGGCTGGTTTAAATAGGGTTATACAGGTATCTTCGTTCCCATTTTTATCGAACTGACGACCTTAATTAAGATAGGGTAAATCAAATTTATTTTTAACTTAAGATTTCGAAAACAAACTATTAAGATTACAAAGTACCAGGTAATGGTGCACTTAGATACTTTTATCTATTCAAGTAAAGTTTATACTTTTTGCGCGATCCGTTCGAAGCAAAAATAAAATGCTTGGAAATTTAGCTTGGAATCATGCGTTAAAATGATGCGGCGAAAATGCTTTAGATTAGATAAAATATGAACAATATACGAAATTAACGGCCACGAAAAAAGAGCAGGTAAACTGAAAAACATATATTAACGGCAACAAAAATAGACCACGTAGGCCTAAACTGGAAAAAATAAGTCGACATCAATCAAACGGAGAAAACAAATTTTATGGAGTGTGGGGTTTAAACGTACAGGTTATCACCGTGTAATCTTTAAACCTGTTTACATCGTTGATAAAAATAACTGACTGTGATAGACATTCTATTTTAAGCACATCTCAGCATGGGCTTGCTGATTACAACTAATTTTTTTTTTCTATTTTAAATCTGGGATGTATTTAAAAAAAACACCCTTTCCGTATGATATGGATAATTTTTTGTTTATCTGATAAAACTTAACGTGAGGGTAAAACTGTATCTCCATCTTGCTTACTGCCCCCATTAGCTACATACCTTCTTATCCACTCCACCCTCCCGTAACCAAGCTTTTCTCTCGTTGGCTAGATTGTCCACGTGACACACCGCCATGTTAATGCTAACAGAAAAACTCACTCTCCTCTTACTGACTTTCACAAGAGAGTTCAGGGCGGTCTGTTCTTCGCCCACATTATCGTTTTTTCTTTTATTTTGTTATATTTTTATTTACCTTAACATTCTTGTAAATTAAGCAATTAAATTATCAATGTTAAAAACGTATTTGCTAAATCTAATAAGTGCACCTGTAGTCTATTCTTTCAGTTGACTTAGTCTTTTTTAGTAACTTATTATTTTATTACAGGCGAAAAAAACGGAGTTTACTTGCCTGCTGTAAAATCTTTAAAGAAATGTGGTTATCAGATTTGGCTATTCGTATTTGATTACTGATACTAGCTACAGCATTTTTATGTTCTCATCCTGCCTGTGACTTAGTTCACGTGGCAGTAGATTATTACATATTATTAATATTTGATACACTTAATTCCCGATAAAGAAGTGGCGAAGACCCTCCTATCGGTTGAATTATATGATTCCTACTAGTATAACACTATTATAATATACATTACTTACTAAAACGTAGGTCTACTGTTTATTATCAGTTGACGCTTGGTGTATAAATTAAAACATATTTTATTTAGAATTGAGAAGCCTTTCTATTTTTAGACTCAAGAAAGTATTAAAAGGATGTAGCTTTTTACTTTCTCGTATATACGAAGTATAGAGAAAGTATTGTAATCGTGCAAAAAAAAAAATCGAGATTTTTACAAATCTCGACGCTTTACACCTCACTGATACGGAAAAACATAATTTTGCAATATTGTCCGTATGTCTGTGTGTCTGTCTGTCTGTCTGTCTGTCTGTCCGTGTGTAAACACGATTACTTGAGAACCGTTACAGCTAGGTTGATGAAATTTCATATATAAGTATTTTATCAAAATCGTAGATCCGTATCAACTTTTGAGCGATTTCCGATAACCGGAAGTGGTACTTTTCCTACTTTGAATTTTTCAAAAGCCTATAACTTGAGTACTATTTCAGATAGATAAATGAAATTTCACATGTAAGTAAAAGATCTAATTCTCTACCTTCTGTAAAATTTTGAGTAATTTCCGTTGACTGGAAGAAGTAATTTACGCTACTTCCGATTTCTCAAAAAACTAATGTAAATTTTAAAAGTACTAATAATATTGCGCACGATTATGCGCTTTTTTATTTGGCGTTCACTTGGTGTGCAATTAATTTGTCTACGAGATTTTATTCTATTTTTAAAAGTTTAAGTATTTAAAATGGATTAAAAATCATGTCTATAGCTCGAGTTCCCATCCCCTGTTATTTTATATAAGAATATTCGAGAAAGTTTAGGGGAGATCACTCCCGGTTTATTTAATCTAATTATGGATTATAGTAGTAGAGTTTTTACTAAACATGAATGTTCAATAGAATATCAAAAGAAAAGACACGTAGAAGTAGAAGAAGAACAAATTAAAACAGCAACCTTCATAACATTATGTATTATGATAACTAAACAGTAACAAAATATAATAATGCTCCATGCCACCTACTAACCGATATAGTTTACTATAACACATTTATCTATTACTTGCATTCTTACAGAACCCACTTTACAAAGCTTTATCAATACCTTCTTGTTATCGATACACATGTGTCTGATTACCTTTTGCAATTAATTAACCTTTTTTACTTTCTCGTATATACGAAGTATAGAGAAAGTCTTGTAATCGTGCAAAAAAAAAACAGATTTTTGTAAATCTCGACACTTCCCTGAGTTGGAAAAACATAGTTTTGCAATCTTGTCCGTTTGTCTGTTTATTTGTGTGTATGTATGTGTGTGTGTCTCTGTGCGTGTGTGTCTGTAAATACGATAACTTGAGTACCGTTACAGCTAGGTTGATGAAATTTCATATATAAGTATTATATCAAAATCGTAGATCCGTAGCAAATTTTGAGCGATATCCAATAAATGAAGTGGAACTTTTTATACTTTGAATTTTTCAAAAGCCTATAACTTGAGTGCTATTTCAGATAGATAAATGAAATTTCACATGTAAGTAAAAGATCTAATTCGCTGCCTTCTATCAAATGTTGAGTAATCTGCGCAGGAAGTAGTAATTTAGGCTATTTTCGATTTCTGAAAAAAAAACAATGTGAGTTTATAAAGTACTAATAATATTCCGCACTATTATACATATTTTGTTTTGCATTCACTTGGTGTGCAGTAGTTTTTTCTACGAGATTCTATTCTATTTTAAAAAGTTTAAGTAATTAAAAATGGATTCCCGAGTTCCCATCCCCTGTTGTTTTATATAAGAATATTCGAGAAAGTTTAGGGGAGATCACTCCCGGTTTATTTTATTTTTAAGTTGTCTTTAAGTAGAAGACATATCCGATCACTTACAGTCAACTTGTGTTTATCTCTTATTGCTTGCTACTTATTCTTATTCTATTCTACGAATTATAGAGTATTAAAAGTATATACAAAGATTATTTAGATGGAACAACTTTTACACTCAAAGGAAAGAACAGACGGGTGGTAGACTTTGGGATATTTATGGAAAATATCAGGTATAATTATGAAACAGTTGTATAAAATAAAACACATTTTAACATATTTATAAATGATATGTATTTATAAATTTATTTCTAAGTAAAGTTGTCACTTTTATTATTTTCTATTAAATTCCTGTATGATGAAAAACTCTAGGGAGACAACAAATAAATAGCAAAATACATATTTTTTAAAAGTGCTACACCCCCTTGAATCGTACTGAATCGATACGACATCTACAACAGTTATCATACACAGAATCAAATGACATGCACCAATGCATCTATTTTAGCTGGTTAATAATAAGCAGCTTCTCAAGGATACTCATTATATACTATAAGACAAATTTTAATTTTTTTAACTTTCTCGTATATACGAAGTATAGAGAAAGTATTGTAATCGTGCAAAAAAAAAAATCGAGATTTTTACAGATCTCGACGTTTTACACCTCATTGATACGGAAAAACATAATTTTGCAATCTTGTCCGTATGTCTGTGTGTGTGTGTGTGTCTGTGTGTCTGTGTGTCTGTGTGTCCGTGTGTAAACACGATACCTTGAGTACCGTTACAGCTAGGTTGATGAAATTTCATATATAAGTATTTTATCAAAATCGTAGATCCTTATCAACTTTTGAGCGATTTCCGATAACCGGAAGTGGTACTTTTCCTACTTTGAATTTTTCAAAAGCCTATAACTTGAGTACTATTTCAGATAGATAAATGAAATTTCAGATGTAAGTAAAAGATCTAATTCTCTACCTTCTGTAAAATTTTGAGTAATTTCCGTTGACTGGAAGAAGTAATTTACGCTACTTCCGATTTCTCAAAAAACTAATGTAAATTTTAAAAGTACTAATAATATTGCGCACTATTATGCGCTTTTTTATTTGGCGTTCACTTGGTGTGCAATTAATTTGTCTACGAGATTTTATTCTATTTTTACAAGCTTTTATTTAACTCACTTCCTCGTCATTCTGTCTGTCGTCAGTCTAGATAGAAACGCAGGAGTGAAAATTCGGACAGTTCTACTTGACCGATACGATTCACAGTTGGCACGTGGGTCAAGACATGAAGACAATGCAATCTGAAACTAAATTTGACTTAATTGGATGCCTAATTAATTTTTTATTAATTAATTAAAATTTGGACCGAATTATTAGGCATGTCTATCCAACCACATCACACGCGTCATCACGTTCCATAGCTGTGCCATCACCTTCAGTAGGCGCGCCATCACGTTCAATAGACGCGCAATGGTTTTTAGTCATGTAACACTATTGTAAATAAAACATGTAAAGTACTGAAAAAAAAATTCATAAAAAACGTTTTAATAACAAGCTTTTATGTAATGATGCACTAAAAAGTAGAAAATAAATTATACACTACTATTTAAATTACTATAAAGAAAAGCGTGGGTCTCTTCTCAAATATTAGTAAAGGTATCCAATATGTACTAAAGTACTAAAGTGACCCACGCTTTTCTTTATAGTAATTTAAATAGTAGTGTATAATTTATTTTCTACTTTTTAGTGCATCATTACATAAAAGCTTGTTATTAAAACGTTTTTTATGAATTTTTTTAAAAGTTTAAGTATTTAAAATGGATTAAAAATCATGTCTATAGCCCGAGTTCCCATTCCCTGTTATTTTATATAAGAATATTCGAGAAAGTTTAAGGGAGATCACTCCCGGTTTATTTATTTTTTTTTATTTTCTATTTTTATTAAATGAGGATCATCATGAAAACTTTTGGGAACCTGAGGTATAAATAATTGATCCTCAAATCATAATTTAATTACTTTTACTCTTAATATTATTGTCAATTTGTGTACATGATAAGATAATTTTATTCATTTAGTTTGTTTTGTTTCTTCACTTTCCTAAGTATTTACGTAAAACTATTCACACAAAACAGTTTACAAATAAAGTAGAATGACTCAATATATATTTACATTTCGAAATTTAGTTACAATTTTACCAAATATGCATTAATGTGATACAGAACAGACCACTACATGAACATAATTAATATGTTGTATAAAACTGCTATTTTCTTTAAATCATCTTTACTGTTTTCTTATAAACAATTAAATCCTTACTTAATTAGTTTTAGTCTCGACAGTATTGGCAATATGTTTGCACGATAACATAATTTGACTCACGTTGATAATTTTGTTATTCCCCTTCTCTAAATTTTTACGTACAACTTTTAGGCCTACAGCAAAAGAGTTTACAAATAAAAGTAGAATAACTATGATTATTTACATTTAAAAGTGTAAAACATGCATTGATGTGATACACAACGGATCTCTACAGAAACAAACATCTAGTTAACAGAATTTCATTCAGCAGTAGACGGAGCGTTATTTATTAGGGTAAAGCGGTTTTGTTGTTTGTTTGATTTGAACTTAAACATTAAGCAACAGTCTTTATTGTATGAAAATAAAAATCAACATAAATGTAAAGCGTTATATGTAAAGTCGGAGAAATATTATAATTTAGCGTGTCATGTATCAGTAGTGGTTATACATCGTTTTGTTTTTTGTGGGTTTTTTTAATATCACGGTCGTCGTAGTTTCATCTCAACTTGCTCCAGAGAATCTATGTTGTCTGTTATACTGTCCCAGATAATGCCTTCACCACGAGCTTTACTCGCCCATACACCGTTTACGTTCACATAATGACATGATGTATACCACCAGCCGCTTTTATAACTGTCAGCACAGTTACTAGACGATTTATCATTGTCTCTATCTAAAGTAGAAAAAGCCATTCCATTGTGTTTACTAAAGTTGTCTGTAGTGTTGCCTGTCTTGTATGTAAACTTTATCCGATACAAATCTGCTTCATTTCCCAGCGTCACATTACTGTACACCATGTAGTAGGATTTACCTTTATATTTCATGTCAAACCTCAGTTCACTGTAGCCCTGTAAATATATAAATGTATATTTACAGTATATAGCTGAAAATGTTATCGCACACTGGCCTCTATGAAAAACTATCTGTAAAGAACTATCAGTTGGACGCTTAACCCTAAACCTAACACAAACTATAAACATCGTAAACACAACCAAAAAATCCCCTTTAACATTTCCCAGCCTATGTGATTTGGTGATGTGTAGAGAAGACATGTTTGATGAGTTCCTGTTGTTGAGGATTGGTAGCCCAATTTTAATGTATTATGTCAGTGTTATGTTGGTAATTTATCTTATATTGAATTTAAGTTTACATTTGGCAAAATGTATATTTTAAATTATTTTTGTAATGATGACACTTGACTTTCTTGAAGACCAACTTTTAAAAAATTGCTATTGCTTGAAACATACTTCATAACAACAGTATTTATAACAAAATAGTTATATTTTATAAATGTTAAAAACATTACTACTTGTTCAATTCAAATTTGTAAAATACTTATTGTGAAATCAATATTTCAAGTAAAAACTAAAATTTACACGTACGTTTTGTGTGAGGTTTGAGATTATGTCATTTCCAAGCCAATAATCTCCAGCCAAAAATCCAAAACCATTTTTGTAACTGCTCCAGTTTCTGGTGAAACTTACGTCTCCTGCCACACGTCTCTGAATCCATTAAAAAAAACACCATATAGACATCTATTAAATAAATTTTTACAATTGCAATATAAACTTTAAATAAATAATAGACATGTTTTTACTAATCCCCACCATTCAATTGTTTTACCAATTCTGATTTCTTGACGGTTTATTCGTCATATACAACAAAAGAAGATACATACCATTGTTCAAATCTGAACAGGTTGAGGCTTATAGCTTTAGACTGCATCAAGTTTAGATAGTTTTAGAACTAGAGCCAGTCTTCAGTTGTCAAAGAAAAGCGATTGGGGCAGTTGAGTAGCAATTGATAACTTTGAGAGTCATCAAAGTTATTGTTATTTCTCAAAAACGATTGAGAACTATTTAGTTGAAATAAATTTATCTATTTTTAGACACTGCTAAACATTTACCATTTGTAAACCTATCAGGTTGCGTCAGTCAAATAATAATTGTTTTACGTGTAAAAGGAACAGTAATGTTGATTATGTAACTTTAGCGATAGGCGCAATCTGCATCCTTGTTTTTATGAACCAATCATAAAGTGAGACCATGAATCTAAATATACATCATTAGTAATGATAATTTTCAATAAAGTATTAATAAAGAATATAAATTGAGTGGTATCAGAACGTGTTCTTTGAACTTTCTTTTTTTCTGAAACCTCAGTAACGTGTAGAGGACGGTACGTTAGTTAATAATATAAGAAAAACACAATAATATTATATTTTTAACTTTATTTAATAAATATAGTTTACATAATATTGGACCTTACATTGATTCGATTTTGAATCAAGGCAAACAATATTGGGAATGCTAACCAATATGGAAAAATTTGAAACGAAAGATAAAAATTAATGTTAATTACTAAAAATAGAAGCACAAAGTACCTGTATAACAATCCATCCTCCACCGTCTGTTTTGGTATCACACAAGGCAAGTTTTCTTTTAGCTACTTTAAAAGCCGTTTGTTCTTGGAGACTTGAGTTGTCGTTCCTGACACACTAGAAAACATTCAATTACATTTTATTTTTTAAAAGCTAATAGATGTAAAGGAAGGTTAAACTGCATTGTTTTTATCTGTGGCAATGCATTTTGTATGAACTTGATTTTCAAAGTAAACATTTTACATAAAGAAGTATTCTGCTTTTCTCAAACAGAAGTATTGATTTTAACCTCAGTTTGTAATAAAAACAATTTAGTTAAATGACGGTAGATAAAAAGCACATTTTATTTACGACTATCTTAATAGTTTCTTTCAATGAACTTAATTTATAAGCGTAAAAAGATAGACGTCAAATATTGTCAAAAACAATAAACATACAAAAAAAATGTATTTACCTGTTTTGTTAATTTTAAGTGCATGGGGTTAACGTAGTACTCTTCTATAAAACCTTGTAGCGTTTTGCTGAAACCGGCTACCAGTTGGAAAGTTGAATTAATATTTTCTTGTGTGATGATTTTTTTAGATTTGTTTTCCATCTCATTTAATCTGATCCCGAGTTGTTCTGTTTGGTTATGTGAGTTAGCTAGCTTTCTTTGAATTGAGTCTTGTAAAACAACCAAACTATTTATGTTTAATTGTAATTTTGAATTAACTTTGTTTTCCATTATCTGTAATGCTTTGTTTACATCAAGAGTTAAATTCTTCATATATTCTTTCAACAGATCATCAAATATAACAAAACTTATCTGCTCAAAAATGTTAATTAACTCTGTATGTGTTGGACGAAAACTTTTGTCTGTGCTGAACTTATCGCCACCACTTTTCTTTATATTTGTTTCTATCTCATTTAATCCGATACTGAGCTGCTCTATTTGTTTCTGTTTGTTGTCCAACATTGTTTGCATTGATTCATTTAAAACGGCTAAACTATTTTTATTTAACGTTATTTTTGAACTGAGTTTATTTTCCATCATCTGTAAAGTTTTGTTTACATCAAGAGTTAAATTCTTTATCTTATCATTCAACATTTTATCATCAAATACAGAGGAATTTATCTGTTTATAATTGTTATCTGATGAATCAAAATTTCGGTCTGTGATGAATTTATCGGCACCTGAATGTGACATCTGTAATGACATTGTCATGTCTGCACCTTTCAGTCTGTCTGAGTCTTCAAACGATTTGAGAAAATCGGCCATTGTGTCAACAGATTTAACATAGTCAGAAGTTTTAGCTTTTAAGTTCATCATTAGGAATGTGTCACGTGATTTTCTTGGAAAACTCTCCGTCTGTTTCCCAATTCTGTCAATAGATCCAGTTGTATTCACATAATGTATTTCACATAGGAAAATGTCATCATTGCAGTCTGAGTTATTTGAAAAAAAGATTTCCAATTCAGAAAATGTTTTCGATATTATTCCTTCTACTCTTGTTCCAGTCCTTTTATAATCTTGAAGCTTTGAATCTGATTCTGCAATAGACGCCACCAAAATCTTCCCCTCTGGTTCACTGATCCTATAGACTGACATGTTGACAAGAGCTGATATCTGAGTGTCTTCTCTTGTGTTTTCTGTACACTGGAGTCGTGCACAAAATAAATCCTTGCCGTGGTAAAAATATTCTCTGTTCATGTCAAACTTTATATCTGAAAATAAACAAAACACATGCCAGTTTCCTAGAGTCAATTATTAAAAATAATTCGAATTTGCTTATGTGTCGTCTTAGCTAAAATATATCTCTAGCTATCGCTTGGCGCTGCTAGAAAAAACAATATAATTCGACGGCTGGTAACTAAGGATTGAAATAAAAAAACTATTTAAAGTGAATTTTAGTCTAGAGGCTAGAATAGAACAACTTTTCGTCATTAAATTCTGGCTTCCAAGAACAGAAGAATTCCAAATTATAATACTAAAATATATTTTTAGAACGTTGACCGGAAGATCTATTGCGGGAAGCACACGGACATTTCAGAAATTGCCAGATTTTAGATCAGAAGTAGATAGTTATAATATACTTGCAATTTACCATCTTTAATTAAGACCTCTACGGGCGGTTTGACCAGCAGGCTGTTTAAATTAAACAGATTTTTAAAAGCGCGATATACTGTCAGCACTTTATGGAGTATGGCATCTATCATCAGCCTATAGATTTTTATATGGAACCAGCATTCAATCTCAGTCGAAAGATTCTCATATAGAACCCACAGAGCAAATAGTTTTTCAAAAATATCAGGATCAGAAAAAGAGAGTCAGAATTAAATAGGGCTGCAGCATGGTACAGTTAGAAATAAAGCCACTGGATCGATGTCTCTAGTGAAGCTTTATGCCCCCTACGTAGCTTCAATTATTTGTAATGACGGTTGCGAAGTCGGATATTCAAAAACATGGTATCTGGAAGGATTATTGAAATCTTAAAGGATTATTGGTATCTGGGAGAATTATTGGTATCTGAAAGTATTATTGGTATTTAAAATTTAAAAACGTAAAATTGTCAACACTCAAAAAGAAAATAATAAAAATCATTTGTCACTGGTTTGTATGTAAGTGGGTTGTTTTTATTATATGTTCTCTAAAAACTACGGTTGAAATAAAAACTTTTGTCGTTACATCTTATATGAAATAAACACAAAGAAATCCATATAATTTAATTAACAAAATAAGCATCTTTTTTAAATTTGCATTAAAGTTCTGATAACCTTTTCTGATACATAGGCCTACTGTTCTGAAATTATTGGGAAAATAACACCAACAACTGATAAAAGTATTATAATTAAACAATATTACTAATATATTAAAGCTTTTGAAATTCTAACGGTTATATCAGTAAAATAGTCTTACCTGTACTTGAAATAATATTTATTGAGAGGAACATGTACAGCACAAGGAACATCATTGTGGCAGTGATGTTTTATTGATTAAAAAAATTTAGAAATCACGAAAACACAAAACTTTACTATAACGAATGGAATCTCAACTAACAAAACCGAAATGCGGGCTGGTTTAAATAATGGTATCCAGGAATTCTTTTTCGCATTTTTTTCTAACTGACGTCATGAGAGGGTTAATCAAATTTGTTTTTAACTTAGGATTTCCTTTCCAAAATATTAAAATTTAAACTGGTGCACTTTGATATGTCTATCTTTTGCCGTGACGTTTAATATTCTATAAGCGCTCCGTTATTAGACATAACTCAAACATTTTGGCTACAAACTAACATCTGCTAGTAAATTGAGTTTGAAATTACATGCAAAAACGTTGCAGCAAAAATAATTTAGACTAGATAAAAAGTGATAAATTTGATTACAGAATTAACGGCCACGAAAATATAGCAGGTAAACTAAAAAGAACAGATATCAAGGGCCACGAAGATAGAGCAGGTAAATTGAAAAACAGATATTCACTCAATCAAACGAATACGGGGAAACAATTTTTATGGAATGTGGGGTCATACCATTTAAAATAGTAAGAAAAAAATTTAGTTGTAATCAGCAAGCCAATGCTGAGAGAATATCATCGTGTAAACTTCAAACCTGTTTACATCGTTGATAAAATAACTGACTGGGATAGACATTCTATTTTAAGCATATCTCAGCATGGGCTTGCTGATTGCAACTAATTTTTTTTCTATTTTAAATCTGGGATGTATTTTAAAAACATCCTTACCATGTGGATATTTTTTTTTCTTATAAAACTGCGTGCCATTCTTAAAAAAAGTACCGCCATCTTGTTTACCATCTAGCTACATACGTTCGTATCCTCTCCACCCTCCCCAACCAAGTTATTCTCTAGTTTGATCGATTGTCCACGTGACACACAGCAATATTAATACACGAAAGGGGATGCAACCAAAATATTCTCTCTTCTTATTGGCTTCCGCACGTGGAGTTGAGGGCCGTCGCTCCTACTCCCTCGTGCTCTTGGTTGCGTATTTTACTCACTTTATTTTTGGTTACTTTAACTGCAATTATTTTGTAACCCATTTAATTTATATGTCAATATTGCCAAGTATTTGTTACATCTAATAAAGGCACATATAGCCTGTTCTTACATTTGACCTACTCCTACGTGCTCTTGGATTTGTATTTTATTTTATTTACATTTATTTACTTAACAGTTTTATAAATCATGTAATTCATAAACTATTTTTACGAAGTGTATGTTAAATCTAATAAAGCCCATTTAGCCTACTCTTGTAGTTCACTTAGCTTTTTTAGTAACATAATTTTATTACAGTAAATTGCGGGAATTGAGTTGACCAGTAGGGTCATTAAGTTACTTGACGGCTGAAAACCCGTACAAGCCAAGCAAATAACAGACGTGGCTATTAGCATTGTTACTGTTACTAGCTACAGTATTTTTATTATGTTCTCATCCTGCCCGTGACTAAGTTCACGTGGCAGTAAATAACTTACTTATTCTTATTATTTGACAATCTCAATAGTGAAGTGGCGCAGACCCTCCTACCGGTTGAATTATATGATTCCTGCTAGTACTACACTATTATGATACACATTACTTACTAAACTTATTGTTTATTATCAATTAACGTAAAACGCATTTTACTATTTACCTTTGACGTTTCGTGTATAAAATAAAACATATTTTGTTTAGAAATTGGGAATTCTATCTTTTTTAAGACGCAAGAAAGTATCAAAAGAATCCAGGTTTTTTAATCTATTTATTTATCCTAATAGTAGAATTTTACTAGACATTTATCAAAACAAAAGACACGTAAAAGTGGACGAAGTTAAAATTAAAATAGCACCCTTTATAACTTTAAGCACTATGTTAACAAAACCTTAACAAAATTAAATAATGATGTATACCACCTACTATCTGATATAAATTACTTTAAGTAGAAGACGTATCCGATCCATTACAGTCTATTTGTATTTATCCTTTATCGCTTGCTACTTATTTTCTTCTATTCTACTTATTATAAGATAATAAAAGAATACACGGATTATTTAGATGGAACAACTTTTACACTCAATGATGTCTCAAAGGAAAGATCGAATGTTAATGGAAGTTATAAGGTCTACGTATAAAACAGTTGTCTAAAATTTTTAAAATTCTGTTGTATTTATAAATTAATTGATCAATAGGAAAGTTTTTAGTTTTGATTTATAATTTAATTCTAAGTAAAGTTACTTTTATTATTTTCTATTAAATGCCGGTATGATTTTTTTAAAATGCAGGGAGACAACAAATAAATAGCAAAAAAAAAATAATAATTTTAATGTGTTACGCCCACTTAACTCGTCGAATCGAGAGGATATTGACAACAGTTATCCTAGAAAAAATCCGCAGAACCTGACAAACACACTCACCAACACATCTATTTAAGCTGGTTAATAATAAGCAGCTTCTCAAGGCTAGTTAGTCATTATATACTATAAGACAAATCTTTATATTGTATTTTTATTGTCTATGTTTATTAAATGTAGAAGACTATTGTGAGTACTAACTTAATATGTCGTGAGATCGATTGAGGACAATAAAATTGGCGGTTAGGTAGACAAGGTTCGAGTTGCATTGACTACAGATGTTTCGACCACGGTGTTATGACAATAGGGGCTTTGATAATAAGGGCTTGGCATACGCGGCCTTTGACCATAGGTGGTTTCACGAAAAGGAGTTAACTCTTAATATTTGCATTAGCTATGTTGCTTACGGTATAAGAATAAAAGAAATATGTAACGTATCAAACATCTATTTGTTTCATCAGTGGCTATACACTTAAACTGATTAGTTACTTCAATATCGCTAATAAATTAACTATTCCAATTACCAACGTCCATCGATCAGTCAAAACAAGTAGGAACTTAACCTTGTCGACATCATGGTACATGGTGCTAACATCGGGTGTTCTATTACTTTATCCCAAAGTGATTATACCTCACAGATGCCTTATATTAGCAATACCAAATCATTTCAACAATTAAATGTTGTTTTTCTTCGTTTAAAAGTACATGGTTAGAGGGGATTAAATCAAACAAAAGCATTTTTTTTACATCAACATTACAACATTACTAAACGTGAGGGATATATAATTATATATATATATATATATATATTTATATATATATATATATATATATATATACATATGAAGAGTTGATTTTCAAAACGCGATAAGCGCCATTTTTGAAAAAAATGAGATAAGGTGCCCATATTGTAAAGCTACTCAGTTACTATTAGGAAAACTTAATTTTAATCTTCACGGCGCAAAATTTTCATTTTATTTCTATTTTTGAAAAAAACGTTTGGTTTCAAAACGCGGCATTGTCGATTTTATTTAGCGTCAAAATGCGGTATCGATTCGGACCAATCCGTGTAAATATTAGTATTTATCTGCATGCGCATTAAGCATCTCTAAGTGAAACAATTGTTAAAATGGCGGACTTTGATGGTCACGACGAAAGTGTTGTACTGACATTTAAGTCCAGAAAAAAGAAGAGGTCATGCACAGAAAGAGAAAAAGAAAAGATCTTTCGTCATTCAGGAGGAGGAATGATCCCGTCCATTTCGTGTAATCATATTAAAGGATTCTGCAAGGTAAGTTGTAGATAAAACTAACTTATCTAACACAAGGCTAGGCAGGCCTGAGTTTACTTTTTTTAAAACACGATAGTACTATTACTAGAATTTAGATATCTAGCTTGTTCTTTTATTTGTTGAGTGAAGTTTTGAATGTAAATGTATGAATACCAGTAGGTCTAGGCTACTGTCAGCTCTAGCTTAACATTCCAAAAGTAGGGAGAGATTCTAGATCTAATTCTAGTCTAGATTATCTACTCTACTACATATTCTAGATCTAGTATCTACTATCTAGGCCTACTATTTTTTCTAGCTAGACAAAAGTTTTAACAATTCTAGTCAATATTATATCTAAACTTCGATTTATCATCTAGGTTGTATGTCCTCGTTTGTCTAGTCTAGCAATAACTTTAAGTAAGGCAAGTTGAATCCTTATCGTCGGTGGGATAGGACGTGTGTTGTTATGGATACGAGATTAAAAGATTTATATACGAGTTACTTGGTTCATCTTATTCTTATCTCTGAGCGTCGTGGATTCATTTGAATGTGACATAACTTATTGTTCTCAAGGTGTAATACTCTCTCCCTGGTATTGGAGACGAGTGAAAAGGTAGTTGGCTGGATCAAGTAAAGTAAACCCTCTCACTGCACTGCAACGTAACCGTAACATGATGGTGAACCCAGTATAGCATGGGGAAGCAGGTATAACATGTTACGGTATGTTACTTCAGTGAGAGGGTTTAAGTCACCCGACTCGGCCAACTACCATTTAGTTCATCCCTAACATCAGGGAGAGAAGTTCTGACCTTGGAACCAATAAGGCTATCTCACGTTTAGTCTAGCATATGGCGCTCAGAGATAAGGCAACTCAATATTCCTAATCTAATACTTTATTCATACATATATTCTACATCTATCTATCTCCCAACTTGAGGCATACGGACCAGTACACATCCTTTCATCCCGACGATCTAGCTTAGACTCAACCGATTTCCCCTGTCAAACATGCATCATAACACTAGCCTTAGCTACTAGATCTAACTAGTAGTATAATTTTTAATATAAAATTAAATCTTCCATTGTAGCAAAACATACATTTGTATTATTTATTTCAGGCTCAAGATATAACACCTGATGACCTGGTGAAATGCCATGCAGAGTTTTACAGCAAATTGAACAAAGTGTCACAAGATGCTGCTATAGTAGCTTTGCTTGATGCGGACACCACGAAAAGAGTGAATGATCAGAGGAAAAAAAACAAGACACATGACGATCAAATCTTTTCTTTGTAGTGATGGAAACAAGCTGCAAGTTTGCCAGTCTTCTTTTGTTCAGCATTGCGTACGTAAATAGCTTTACCTTCAGTTTGCTATATTGGATTTGCTCGTACTGCAGTTACTGTCAATAAAAAACTGACTATTGTCCAGAGGTTTATCCGATTATGGAAATTCTCTTTTTTCAATGTTACAGTGGAATTATCTTAATAATACATGGTTAATATATCCACTTTTTTAGGGAAAAACTGGGATTCAATCAACACAAAGGAGCCTGGAAAAAAGAACTGTGTAAAGGTGGCTAAAAAGACAGATGTTCTTTGAGTTCTCGAAGCCGTAGGAGTGGAGGAGAGAATAAAGATTTCTTATGAGGCACTGCTATGTGATGCTACTGAGGATGTTGCTCATTCTAACTCTGATGTAGATAGTGCCTAGTTTGTCTGAATTATTTATTTTTTCTTGCTTCACTCATTTTTGTTTTCAACTTTTTTTTTTCATTTCATACTATTTCTTTTACATTTTATGATTTTAGTATAAACTAATAAACTTTTATCTTCTTTTAAAACTATTTTATGTTGACTTTTTTAGTTCTTTAGACTTTGTTAACACAGTTCAACAGTAGAAAAGACAAGCTGTACTCTTCAAATTAAAGTCTCTCGTTAGAGACTTGCATCATTTTGAAAATGGTTCAAATAACTGAAATTACTCAATAAAAACACTTTACAGTAACAGAAAAACATGGTACAATTGTAGTAAGATGGTAACACTGGGAATATAAATGGGTTTTAATAAAATAATAAACTAAAATATTGGACATTAGATGTATTATCAGAAAAAAAATGGATATACTGCGTTTTGTAGCTTAACAAAAGCTGGATATACCTCATTTTGCAACTAAACGAAAATTTTGGGACCAAAAAAAAGCATCTTTTTATGCAGGTACATTTCAAAAACCATTCTAGTCCTATTTATATGAGGGTTATGAACCTAAATTGATAAACAGTTTTAGCAAATTGTTCAAAGGCTTCGTGTAGGAGAAAAGTGCGATTTTCTCGAAACCCAAGTTTTGGATATATTGCATTTTGAAAATCAACTCTTCATATATATACATATACATATATATACATACATATATATATATATAAATATATATATACATATATATATATATATATATATATATATATATATATATATATATATATATATATATATATATATATATATATATATGCTAGGGGTCCCGGGCCTCTGTGAAAAAGCAGCATATACTCTGCTTTGCTCAGAACCAAACAAAACCAAAGCACACAAAAAAACACAAACATAACGCAAACACAAAACAAACGCAAACACAAAAACAAAAAAACAAACACAAACACAAAGAAAACACAAAAACAAACAAATAGAAAACACAAACGCAAACATAAACGCAAACACAAACGCAAACATAAACGCACACAAAAAAAACGTAACACAAACACAACACTAACGCAAACGTAAACGCAAACACACACATAAACCCAACCACAAACGCAAACACAAACATAAACAAAACACAAACAAAAGAAGAAAATGCAAACACAAACGTAAACACAAACGAAAACGAAGCCACAAACAAATACACAGACGTAAACACACACATAAACGCAAATGCAAATACAATAACACATACAAATACAAAAAGAAACACAAACGCTAAGCTAAAAGCAAACACTAACTCAAAATAATGCAAAAGTAAGCGCAAACATAAACACAAACTTAAGTGCAAACATAAAAGCATCGTGCCCTCAGTCTAGCCCGGACCCCAAATCGCACCCTGCCGAGGCGACAGCGGACGTGCCTGAATCAATTAAGTGAACGTCTATAATAGCCCCAGCTTGTCCATATTCTTTTGAACTCACTTAAACGAACGTTTAAACACAAACATAGACACGAATGCAAACAAAAACGCAAACACAAACCCAAACACAAAAGAAAACATAGAAAGAAAACGCAAGCATAAACACAAACGCGAAGTTTCCTTTCTTACCCTACTCAAGACAACTTTCACTGTATAAACAACGCGATCCCTGATCCCTTTTCGCAAAGTGTATCTTTCAGGGTACGCCAAATTATACAGTTTATCTGAAAATATTTACAAGAATTTACATATTCCAGAACCTGCTGAAAGTAGAATACAAGTTTTCTTTTATTGGTGTCTTGCAGTTCTAATATTAATTTGTAATAGTAATAAAAAATGAATTATCTTTTGAGAATCATCAGAGGTTGGCTTTAACAAAAATTCACCCACAAAATTTAGGGTTGGTATTTAAACAGAACAGGCTACTCAGTCATTACGTTACGCCGATTATTCACTTTAATTTAAAATAAATGACACCTTCTTTAAATCGCCTTATTAAAAATAACATTTTCCGTTCTTGTACAGAATATAGTGAAATGTATTGTAATCGTTCAAAAAAATGGGAATCAAATTTTACAATTTCCCTAGTTGAAAAAAATGTGTAATCTCATATTTTGTCGTTCTCTATGTCTCTCTCTCTCTCTCTCTCTCTCTCTCTCTCTCTCTCTCTGTGTGCGTGCGTGTGCGCGTGTGTATGCGTATGCGTATGTGTATAAGTGCGTGAGTGCGTATGTGTGTGCCTGTGTGTGTGTGAGCACGCGCTTGTGAATCCGATAATCTAACTACAATATGAGTTAGGTAAAAGAAGTTACATATATACGTATTAGATCCGATAAATAAGTCTCTTTCAACTTTTGAGCGATATCTGTTATTCAAAAAGAGAAAATTTTTCCATTTTCTTGAATATTGTTTCACTTTTGTAGTAGAAACTTCAATAATAAGTGTTGGATATTACATATAGGTTATTGTTAACATTTGAACGATTTTGGGTAACCGGAAGTCCTACTTAACTTTATTTTTTTGCGAAGCCAATAAAATTGAGTTCCGTTAGAGGTGCATAGACGCAACATATATAGAGTACAATATTTTATACGTAGAAAACTTAATTATTGAATGACTTGCGGTATTTTTCTCCATTTTCGATTTCTCAAAAACCTTCAGAATTTAATAATAGTATATTATCTTAACAAAAGGCAGCATATTTTAAGAACTTTCCGCCTGTATATTTTTCTCTAAAACCTGAAGGTTTTGTTACAAGCTTCTATATTTCTGTAGCCCGATTTCACTTTGCCATCTCAGCCCCTGATGTTCTGTAAGATAATTTAAAATGTTTATTGTAATTGCTTCTGCGTCGCCGTTCATTTGATTTTTAGAAAGGAGGATCGCCATGAAAACGTTTGGGCACCTGAGGTATAAATAATTGATCCTCTGTGGTCTAATGAGCAATCAAATAGTAATGTAATTACTTTTACTCTTAACGTTATTGTCAATATGTGTACATGATAACATACTTTTATTCCTTTTGTATATTTAGCTTCTATCCGTTCCTAAGTATTTACGTAAAATTATTCATTCAAAACAGTTTACAAATACAGTAGAATAACTCAATATATATTTACATTTCGAAATGTAATTACAAATTTGCCTAACAGGCATTAATGTGATACAGAACAGATCTGTACAGAAACAAACGTCTAGTCAACAAAGTACTGGATTCAGCAATGGACAAAGCGACATTGGTTAGTGGAAAGCGGTTGTGTTGTTTGATTTCAACGTAAACATTAGGCAATATACTTTTTTGTAAATTCCACGTATCAATTATCAGTCAGTGTTAATGCATTTGATAGGTTCCTAAAGTAAAGGTAGCTTGTCATGGTGCTGACCACGCTATACTTTTATACGCCAAGATCACAGAAACAGATGAACTCTACTTCACTTGTCTCATGAACCGCCAGGTCCAAATAGGGAACTTTACAAATCAAGTGGTAAAATTGTAAACAAGAATTTAAAATCCTATTCTATTTCATATGTAACAGTCTTTAGTTATAAATTGTGTGTCTTATATTTCAGCATAAAAAGTAATTATGTTATCAATACTAAACAATATATGCCTTTTTTGTTCACGGTCTTAGTCAGGTTTTCAAAATGGCTGAGTTAACTCAGGCCTCTATCCTGCGAACCAAACTCTAGACATTTTTATTAGTATTAAATAAATGTATGCTAATATATTATAATTAATTTAGAGAAAACAATTTGTAACCTTATAGTGAAATCTTAGATAGTGCTGACACGTTAAACATAATTTACATTACAATCTTATGAAACAATTTAAGTAACATATTGTTGCAGTTATTTGTATTAAGCAGGTTCAAATAGATATAATTAATTCAGAAAGGGGGGAAAATCTAATTCAAAGAGATGAGCCTCTATCAGTAAACAGAACGTCGTTAGAGAAACCATGTACGATTTTTGTTTTTATTAACACTATTTCTCGTAAATAGATTAACAGCTTAATAAAACGTCCACATTAATATAAAGCCATCATTATACAATAAGTTTAATATTTACATAATGGCTAATTATTGGTAGTATGAGCTTTAAACATGTACAGTTAAAATGTTTGTTAAGTCAGCAAAATAATTATTTCTATAACAGTAATTATAAAATCAACTTATTATTTTTGAGGCAGTATAGATGCCTCGTTTAGTTTGTATATTCACGGTCGTCGAAGTTTCATCTCAACTTGCTCCAGAGAATCATCATGTGTTGTTATACCGTACCAGTTGATGCCTTCACCAAAAACTTTATTAGCCCACACACCGTTTACGTTCACAGTATGACAATCGTTATACCACCAACCACCTTTATACAGCTCAGCACAGTTACTAGAATTTCTATCATTGTCTCTATCTAAAGTAGAAAAAGCCATTCCATTGTGATAATAAAAGTTGTCTGTAGCGTTGCCTGTCTGGAATACAATTTTTATCCAATACAAATCTGCTTCAGTTCCCACAGTCACATACTTGTACACGACGTAGTAGGATTTACCTTTATATTTCATGTCAAACCTCAGTTCATTGTAGCCCTGTAAATAGAAAAAAAACTAATAAATGATAATTTAACTTGACAAGTATGAAGCTTAAATTGGTTACCACTATAAATGATATAAGGTTGTTAAGACACAGTTGTATGTGTTTTGAGAGTAAATGAATGTCTCGAACGTGATGCGAAAAAGTTATTTTTATTTGGGGGAAGAGACTGACTTTCTTACGTAAGCCATTTGTCCAAAAGCCGTTTTTCAAAAGGCATTTTTACGAAACGACACATTTCAAAATGTGACAAATGCACAAATGGAAATTAGCCCCAATGCAAGAAATTCGCCAGCTATAGTTTGTTATTTTTGTTTAATTTTTTTGTTCCTCGATAATCAAATGATATACGTTAATTCCGTCCTATATTAAATTTTCTTAAAGTTTAAAACAGAATCTGCCCAGTAGTGCATACAGCAATCAAACAAGGTTTTACAGCAATCGGAATAATGGTTAAGTAATGTAATTAAAGATAGACAAACTAAAAACTAACAAAATCACGAACATACACACACACACACACACACACACACACACACATATATATATATATATATATATATATATATATATATATATATATATATATATATATAATTTATATATATATATATATGCTAGCAGTCCAGGTGAGGCCCTGCACTTGCTTCTGTAAAAACCTATCGGAAAACGTAACGCAAACACAAACACAATAGCAAATACATACTCAAAGTATAACACAAACGCATATATAAACACAATCACAAACCCAAATACAAACAAAAATACAAACGCAAACCTAAAGACTAACAATCACACAGAATATAAACACAAACTGAAATGCAAACACAAACGCTTAGTGCTCACAGTATTGCCCGGGGCGCCAAATCGCACCACACCGGGACGCAGACGGAACCGCCTCAATTAACTTAGTAAACGTCTTAAATACCCCATCTTATCCATAGTCTTTTGGACTCACTAAAATTAATGTAGGCGCCATGACGCTCACGGTAAATCCCGGGACGCCAAATAGCACCCTGTAGGGGCTCCAGAGGGCACCCTGGATTTGATTTAGTAAACGAATATAGTAATTATATTTATTCAAAGCCTATCGCGATCTTTAAAACAAATGCATGCACCATAGCTCTCACAGAATAGCCCGGGGCGCAAATTGCTCACTGCCGGGCGCCAGCTGACGCGTCTGTTTAAATTTAACCGCAAACGAAAAGATACAATTTATTATAGAGGACAATTAGGAACGGCTTCTAAACTCTTATTGATTAAATTAAACTTTAGAAATAATAAACAGTACAGTATAGAATAAATAAAATGTAGTATTACAAATACCCCTTTTTACCTATCATATTGCATTTTTTTTCTAACGTCAAAACAAACTATTAAAAAATATTTTTCCCCAATGTAATGTTTTTTTTTAAAAAATAATTTTGTGTGTGTGATCTATCAAGAAAAGTAATTGACACTAAGGGACTAAGGGAAGTAATTTGTACACTTTTTTTCAGACACAATTAAAAATGTTGTGAATGTTGATACATATATTTGATTTTAGTTCTTTACACGTTATGTCCATAAAATGATAAGATTTAAAAGTGAAATTGTTTTTACGAAACTATCAATATTAATTTTAGAGACATCTATTTCTATTTTAGTTCAAAAGTCAATACTTTAACAATATTATACAATGGCGATCGATTCGATTTTTTTACTATACTAGACTAACCGTTATTGTTGGATAACTGTGGGTTTCGGGGGTCATACATAAATGAATTTTTATTTTTTATTTTAATAAAAAAAAAAAAAAAAAAGCTGTTTGAGGACTGTATAGATATAGATGTTTGATAGGGAAGAATGCTTGCTTTGACGTGTCTCATTGTAATAACATAACTTTTCCGACTGCTTAAAACTAGTATCATTTCAATTCTCGGTATTCCCATTTTTTTTCAGCTCTACTTAAAAACCCAAATTCCACCCTCCCCCCTCCCCTCAGCCCACCACGCCGAGAAAAAAAAATCCCTTGTATCATCATTTAATTACACATTTGCATTTTCAGGTTTTTTTGTTTTTTTTTTATTTATTTTTTCTTTACATTTAGACGTTTTGTCTTAGATCTATTTATAAGTAAACCATCTTAAATGAATGAAAGCAGGCTGCAAGTAAGAAAAAATATTACTATTGTAAATCTGTATCAGTCCTCACAAGCCGATGATGAAAACTGTAATACTAAAGCAAACACACAACTGACACTATAAATTACGTGTCTGAGGCGATAAGAAAAAAAAAATACATAAATGAAATAACTAACGCCACCTATCATCACAAAAAAACCAGACCCCACATTCAAAAAGACGTCACACCTCAGACGTTTTTGTCTTCTAAAGACAGTGATGTCAGCTGAGCTTGGGTCTGACCACACTATCCATTTATATGTTGAGGTCACAGTTAAATTATACACCTACCCGACTCTACTTTACCTGCCCATTGTCCAGCCAATTCTCAGGCAATATTTTTATCGTTTTAAAACACTGATTTCGGCCGAGCATGGATCTGATTAAACCAGAGGCGTAGCGACCATTCCCGCGCCCGGGGACAAACTTTTCGATTTGCACCCCCCCCCCCCCTCCCTCAAGATTTCGATTTGCAACCCCCTCAAGATTTCGATTTGCACCCCCACCCCCTCACACTTTTGATTTGCACCCCCCTCAACCTTTCAATTTATTTTTCCAACCCATTTTGGCGCCCCCTAACGTCGGCGCCCGGGGACATATGTCCCCCCGCCCCCCCCCCCCCCTCGCTACGCTACTGGATTAAACTATCCCTTCATATGCCGAGGACACAAAAAAACAGGTGAAATCTACTTCACCTGCCCCGTGTCCCGCCAAGTCTCGATAGGCAACTTTATCATTCACATATAAAAAAAATGGATAAAATAAAATTTTACATTGTCGTGATGTGTCTCAAACCCGTACCACCCTCATGGTAACTACTACACTATCATCTTAGCTATGTGGGCTCTTTCGGTTAGGTGCAAAATTAGTGATATAGTTTACTTAGTGTCTGCTTAAGAAACTTGATTTACGCGAATAGACCCTAGTCTTATTTCAAATTAAATTTTATCCCAAATTAGCCAATTCCATAGCTAAACGAAAAAAGATTTATATAAAATAATTAAGGCCTGATATAGTTTAGTATAGAAACTTATTATTGCCATAGAATCTAGATCTAGATAGAGCTAGAGATCTAGATCTATATCTACTATTATCTAGAATCTACGGCTGGCTTAAGTCTAGTTTTTCCGTAGCTCTAGATCTAGAACCTAGATAGATAAATTCCATGTATTCTCAAATAAGATGATCCTCAAAGCTAAAAAGCAAAGATTTATATCAAATATTTAAGGACTAACATAGTTTAATAAGGAAACTCAATAATTTATTGTGTTTTTATAATTATGTTTATTTTTAACTAATTAATTTTGGTTTGACCTAGATTCTAGATTTTAGATCTACGATTGACTTTCCCTTAGTCCGACTGCTTATCTGTAGATCTAGAGAAATTTATTGTATACTTAGAAGAACTATTGAAAAATTATAATAGTATTGGAACCTAATAAAAATAGCAAACAGACGTATCAAAATAATAGCTGAAAAACATTTAGCTTTATAATGCGTTAAACTTTTAAATGGGCAACAAGAACTCACATGGAAAACGCCATGTTTTTTTTGTAAAATAAAAATAAATCATGTGACGTCACTATAAGTAAAGTCATAGTCCTCAACTCTAATAATTAAAGTGGTGTTTCTTAAGTCTTTAAATGACTTTGTGATTAACAGTTTGGTAAAAAAGAACATTATTCTCTACCTAAATACGTATTTTACCGCTCTACATGTAGTGCAGAATCTGTCCTGTAACCAAACAGACTAACAACAACAACAACAAAAATCGAAAAATAGATATACAATCTTGTAAACAAACTTGAGTTTTAGTAGTATATAAGATAGATACATGTGTTCTACGCGTTCTCCTGCTAAATACATACATATGGAAGCACATTTCATCTTTATATATATTAGATAAATATCTTTACATTTGTTGAACTGGACTCTTTTCACTTTTGCCGGTATCTGGTCTAGTAGATGCATTTGTTAGAAGTTTGCATTAAGGATTGTTTGTTGAATTTTTTTTATATGTTGAATTTTGTGCTAGAGATAGTTTGTTTACGTTTAACCAGCGCACTTATAACCATTTCTGTCTTCATTTACTCGATGGGCCTGTTAAAGCTTATATAACAATCATAACTTTTATAACCTTATTTTTTTCAAAAATGTACTATTATTAACCGGTTGACAAACTGTTTAAATAACGAGATGCCTATAATATACACTATCCTTGGAGGATTTATTTTCTTAATTGTGTGATGATTGAACCCTGTAGCTTAGAGTCATTGTTTTTTTTTTATGTTGTGAAATTTTGAAGCGGTCAATCGATCCACTTACATAACGGTAAGTTTGCGACGGTTGAGTTACCGCTAGATAGCTAGATAGGACGATGATGAGATGATGTTTAGAGACTGATGATGCAGTCTATGCTTTTTAATGGGTTTTTATGATGGTATCTCGATGATGTGTTGCCGAGTATACCTTGTCTATTAATTTTTTGGGTTTTGTTGGAAAATATTCCTCTAAGATGTTATGTATGTTGTAGATAAACTAATTATAATTGTGGCCATATTACTTAGTTTTACCAACTTGAAAAGTTTTATCTAAAACGAAATAATGAAGTGTTGCTTGTTGTATATTGAGGATTACTTAACCGTATTATGCTGAAATTTATAGATCTATATTCAATTTTTTTTCCCCATTAGTTACATATAGTCGTACAGTTTAGAAAAAAAATACTACTGATGATATGGAAGAGTTCATTTGTATATGCTATAGCGACAAATTCTAGACACAAACTATATAATGTTGTACAAACTACTTTAGATTTAACATTACCCAGTAGCATTTATTATTGAACTTTGTTAGCTGTTGATTGTTTAGAGTTTAGAAACAGTAGTGTCACCTATTGAGGAAGCTTTATTACTTTTTATCGTACTAAGATGTTTGAAGCGTTGCTTCCCTACCTATGTTATTACTGCTCTTAGTGTATTAGTTTGTTGCATGTGATAGATCATGTATGTAGAGTGTAAGCCTCGCTGGCTTTGCCAGCTTGTCGAAGGAGAGGGGAGATGTTATGTCCAACCCCCCTCGTCCCACCGCTAGTGAGTATCTACCCCACCCCCTCCTGTCCCACACCTGAACTGGGACAGCGTGTACTGCCCCTTCCCACCCCTCCCGTCCCACACCTGAACTGGAACACAATGCATCAGTCCCACCTAGCATTTGCAGGCGCCCGTCCCTCCCCCTCGCTGGAATGCCGGGGTCATGCAGGGGTTAAAGAACCCAAAGGGTCAAGCTTGGGCCAGAAAGATAGGAGAGTTCAACGTTAGGCTGGTTAGCATGTAGTCGTGTTTTTGTGTTTTGTAATTTGTGATAGGGCTGGCCCCTAAGGCTGGTCACTATTGATGTTGAAGTTTATTTCCTAGTTAGACAAGACCATCATAAACAAAGTACACAGATGACTTCGTAACACTGGCGCTTTTCTTGATCCTCCCCTACGATAGTCCTACTTTGTGTCAGTAGCTTTGTGATTGCATTCGTTATACTTTGAAGAACTGTTCCCTTTTCACAGGTTTTGATTGGAATTACTTTCCGCTATGTTTTCTGTAGCGTGTTCTATTTGCTGTATTTTCTTTTTGCAAGATAAGGTTGCTGGCCTTATGTTTCTATCTCCAACCTGGAGCACCAATGTGCTAGATTTTGTCTGACCCCTACCCACGAAGACGATCTTCATATTTCCAGCTAAGGTGAACCTGCAAGGAGTTTACACTCCCGCTGTTATAGCTCTGGGGGTGGGGTCATGCCAGGAGTTTACACCCCTGTAAGTATAGCTTTGTGCTTCAACAATGTACATAAGCTGCCAAGCTACAAGGATTTTGCAACGAACAGCAGTCGCAAGATTGTCGAACACTAATTGTAGAAACGTGAGACGACGTGGTCTAAAAGCGCTAGGCTGATAATCCATAAGTCTCGAGATCGAATCCGGGTTCAAGTCATTAGAACGTCCCTGATGGGTACCTAACTCGTGATAGGTAAAGTAAATGCGGCTGGACAAAGTGCTGGCCACACCTTCGCTTCATAAGCAGAGGTAAAAAACATGAACTCTACTTCATCTGCCAAACGAATCGCTAGGTCTAAAGAGGAACTTTACAAAGTATTGAAACATCGCTTCAAATATTAACTCAAAATTGTAACTTACGTTTTGTGTGAGGTTTGAGATCCAGTCATTTCCCAGCCAATAATCTCCAGCCAAAGATCCAAAACCATTTTTGTAGTCGCTCCAGTTTCTGGTGAAATTTACGTCACCTGCCACACGTCTCTGAAACAAAGTATAGCACGCAAATGATTTACAATAATCTAAGTACGTTTGAAAATTGCAACCTACATTTTAAAAAAAATAAAATACACTTATGTTTCTACTTATCCCTACTATTCAAATGTTCTATTGATTCGTAAGTGTTGACATTTTAGTCAACATACAAAAAAAAGAACTAACAAAAAGTGATAAATACTAGAATGTATAAATAAAACAATTGTTTAGTTAAATCAGACAAATTTATTTATAATACATACTGAATATAATAAAGAAATTTGAAAGTAATTATAATGGAAGTAATTAATAAATAACAACAACACTTGCTTCTATACGCCACATTAACAATTGACCTTACACAAGAATAATTTAATAACTGCAAAGTGAAAACATACATTGGTTATTATTATCTCAACATTGTATTTTCTTTTACAATGGACGAAACCAGACGTTCAGAAATATTAGTAATTCTTTATTGTTTGCCCTTCGCTTTTATTCTTCGATCTGAGTTGTTAAGGCACAGGTTAGTCCACACTGTTATCCAAACGCCCATTTCGTGCTGAATTACATTCTGAGCGAACCTTCGTAATAGTAATATGGACACCTATCGGTGACCTCATATGGAGTGTAAACGTAAATTCATAATCATAAAGTACCTGTATAACAATCCATCCTCCACCGTCTGTTTTGGTATCACACAAGGCGAGTTTGCTTTCATTTAGTTGGAGTATCATTTGTTCTGGTAGACTTGAGTTTTCATTCCTAACACACTAGATATATAGGCATTAATATTTAGCTTTAAAAAGGTTCGTAGATATAAAAATAAATTTGAATTTCTTCTTTTTCTTTGGAGAAAAAATAAACCGGTGTGATCTTCCCTAAACTTTCTCGGGGGATGACACCTCGGGATATAAACATGATCTTTAATCCATATTTAATTACTCAAACTTTTTAAAATAGAATAGAAGCTCGTAGAAAAAGAGTGAACGCCAAACAATCCGATTTTAATAGTGCGGAATATTATTAATACTTTATAAATTCACATCCGTTTTTTTTTAAATTGGAAATAGCGTAAATTAATACGTTTGGTAACGGAAATTACTCAAATATTGACAGACGGCAAAAAATTATATCGTTTACTTACATGTGAACCTGTAATCAACTTATAGGCTTTTGAAAAACAAAAAGTAAAATAAGTTCCACTTCCGTTTTCTTAGAAATCGCTGAAAAGTTGTAACAAAACTTCAAATTTGACATAATACTTGTATATGAAATTTCATCAAACTAGCTTTAACGGTATTTAAGATGTCGTGTTCAAAGACATACACAGACATATAAACACACACAGGCATACGGACAGAATTGCAAAGCAAAGTTTTTCTGACTCGATTACGCATATAACACCGACATTTTGATAAATCTGCATTTATTAACTTTGCCCGATTAAAATAACTCCCCTATACTCCGTATATGAGGAAGTACTGTGGTGTAAAACTGTCAAAATTTCTTTTGATTTTTGTGCACGATTACAATACTTCCACTATACTCTGTATACGAGAAAGTACACATGTACTTCATCTCGCCAGAAATATAAAGCAATATCTTGTATACAAACCCTGCTCATATATATTTATGAACATAATTTATTTTAACATTATTTTATTTTGAAAAACTTTGAATTGTTTGTAGGGCTCATTAAAATTTAATACAAATTGGCATATTTGTTTCTTTCAATAAAAACTGTTTAAACTATAAAAGAATGAAAAAGGAAAATTTTCCTGTAGAATAATTTACCTGTTTTGTTGATTTTAAAATCAATGCATGACGGTTGTACTTGTCTTTAAATTCTTGTACAGTTTTGTTGAGACCGGCTACCAAATTTAATGTTGTATTGATATGCTCTTGTGTGATAGTTTTCTCTATTTTCTTTTCCATCTCATTTAATCTGATACTGAGTTGTTCTGTCTGGTTCTGGGTGTTGGCTAACATTGTTTGCATTGATTCGTTTAAAAAAGCAAAACTATATTTGTTTAACTCTATTTTTGAACTGAGTTTATTGTCCATCATCTGTAATGTTTTGTTTACGTCAAGAGTTAAATTCTTTATCTTATCATCCAACATTTTATCATCAAGTGAAGAGGAACTGATCTGTTTATAACTGTTACTTAACTCTGTATCTGTTGGACCAAAACTTTTATCTGTGTTGAACTTATCGCCACCAGAATGTGACATCTGTAATGACATTGTCATGTCTGCACCTTTCAGTCTGTCTGGGTCTTCAAACGATTTGAGAAAATCGGCCATTGTATCAACAGATTTTACATAGTCTGGTGTTTTAGCTTTCAAGTTCATCATTAGAAATGTGTCACGTGATTTTCTAGGCAAATTCTCCGACTTTTTCCCAATTCTATCCATAGATCCTGTTGTATTCATATAATGTATTTCACATAGGAAAATGCCATCATTGCAGTCTGAACTATTCGATAAATAAATATTCAATTCAGAAAATGTTTTCGATAATTTCCCCTCTACTCTTGGTCCAGTCTTTTTATGATCTTGAAGCTTTGAATCTGATTCTGAAATAGACGCCACCAAAATCTTCCCCTCTGGTTCACTGGTCCTATAGACTGACATGTTGACAAGAGCTGATATCTGAGTGTCTTCTCTTATGTTTTCTGTACACTGGAGTTGTGCACAAAATAAATCTTTGTCGTGATAAAAATATTCTCTATTTATGTCAATTTTTAAACCTGAAGATGCAAAGAACAAAGAATATATCTAATACGATATTGAGTCTATTGTTGAAAATAACTAATATTTACGTTTTATGTGCTCAAATCAAAAATTGTATGGTCATGTCAAACTAACTGCTTATCCAAAACAATAATACATGACACTGTGCCAGACGTGAAAAGCGTGGGAAGACAAAGGCTTCAATGATGGATGACATCAAAGATTGGACGAGTATGTATGTTTTTCTCATTGCATTTTGTTGTTGAGTGGAATCTTTTTAAATAATTACTTATGAGGATTTTATTTTTTTTTAAATACAACCTTATACATTTTAGAATAGAAAATTTATATTTGTTTTATAAATGTGTTTGTTTTACAAATGTACATAATACATTATTTATTTAACCTTTCTATTAATTTGAAACAAATGTGTGTCTTAATTACGCATTGTTTAATTTAAAGTTGGTATTTTAAATTTTAGCTACAGAAACTTACCTGTACTGGAAATAATATTTACAACGACGAACGTGTACAACACTATGAAAATCATTGTGGTCGAAAGGTAGTTTTGCTTTAAAAAATTATGAACAAACACAAAACAGCAAACGGTAGCGACACAAATCTTAACTATCAAAACAGAATTGCGGGCTGGTTTAAATAGGGTCGTCCAGTATCTTTCTTTACGCCCTTTCCCGTTGACGTCATAAAAACTTGAGTTATTGCATACACAATTTCAATGCTGTCAAGATTAATGTGGGGGAAAAATATACCACGACATTGACACTTACAGTTTGCTACGCTTTTGTTTACTGCAAACACTTAAATATTTCTGTTGCTAGATAAATTATAAATTTTAGCTTAAGAGTTGAAGATTGCATGTGAAAGTAATACAGCAAACCTGCTCTAGAGGAGATAAAACTGACACATATGACGGAGAAATTAACAACCGTGATAAAGTGGCATCAAAATCGGATGACAGATGTGGATATTATTAAGACGAAAGTGGGACAAAACTACAATCAGAGGGTGAAACTTAACAGTTATCATAAAACAATCTTTGAAACTGTATACGTTTCATGAAATAACTGACATGCATATCTAAGCGTGAGACTGCTGAAAACATAAACAAAGCGCATCCCATGATTAAACCTGGGTTGCATTTTTAAAAACACTTTCCTTTTTCGAGTTATGAAATGTTATCTTTATCTTTTAAGACCTGCGCTTGTAAATAAAACATATTTTGCAAGTTTTTATTTAACCTGCTCCTCTTGCGTAGTGTTAAGTTCTTCGACCATCGTGTATCAAAACTGGCGAGCTAAATGTAAACCTTTCCACCTGGCCAATTTGTTGGAAACTTAGCACAGGTTCAAGACTCAATGACAATACAACATGATATAAAATTGCACTTAATGTGATGTTTATTTAACTTTTAAAAGGTTAATTTTTGTTTCTAATATAAAGTACTATTTTCCGAGCATATTATACGCACGTTATTTGTTTTTATTTGGTATGCAAATTGTTTTTGGTTATGCTATTCTATTTTACTAAAATATTGAGGAAAATGAAGCAAGAGTGATCTCACCTAAACTTTCTCGTAAGGTATTCCTATTTAATTTTAGGAGTGTTTTTTTTTAATTTTAAAATACTTAAATTGGTGTATAATCAAATTTTATAGCCAGGGTGTAAAAACATCACAATAGCTACTTTACAGGCATCTATCGTGCAGTTCGTGAAGTAAACACGTTTTACACTGAAAGTGCGTGGCACGTAGCTCGCGTGGCGAAAAAACGGGCCCGTGGGGTGAGCAATATTATTAATCCCCACCAGCTGGCAAACTTTGTTTAACACGACCAACAAGTTCCGACACACAAACACTCCTGTTCTTGGCCGATCTTTGAACATTGAAAACAATCCGTGTTTAAGCTTGATAATTAAGAAATATTAAAGTTTGAAAAAAAAGAAAAACATGGGTCACTATATTATCTACTTGATACCTTTACTAATATTTACGAAGAGACCCACTATTTTCTTTATAGTTATTTAAATGGTAGAATATTATTGCTTATTTAAAGAAAATTATTTATTTTCTCTTCCTTAGTGTATTATTACATGAACGCTTAATATTAAAACGTTTTTATGAAAAACAAATTTGAGAACTTTTAATTTTTTAATTTATGATTTGCATGACTAAACACTATTAAGCACCAAATGAACATAATAATGTGCTTATAGTAGTGCGGAAAGAGTAGTATAAATCTGCCTACTATTTCAGTTATTTTAATTGATATTGAATTATCTTCAAGTCTTGACCTAGTGCCAACTTTGAAACAAATCTGTCAGTTAGAAGTATTCACAATTTTGCTTGCCCGTTTCGATCTATAACAACAGATAGAAAAATAAACTCTATGTATTTTGCTTCATAATTTTGGTTTTGTTAGTGTTTAGTTTCAGCTGAGCTCCATCTGCAAAATAAATAAGTCTATTTAGTTTTTCTTTGCTGATCTTTTTATCTGCTGTCTAGTAGAGTTCTGTGTACTAGGCCAGTTGTTAGTGCTCATGTGATGCCTCTTGTTAATATTTTGTGTCATTAGCCAATCAATTACTAGATTAAAAAGCAGCGGGGACCAAACACATTCTTGTTTGAACCAATCTGAAACATATATGGGTCATTGATATTGTTATGACATATAACTTTACATTGGAACCCTTCCTATATGATTCTGATGTCATTTATAATTCTTTCTGGAAAACCATGCCATAGTAAGATTTCAATAGGTTGTTTCTGTCCAGAGTATCAAAAACCCTTTTCAAAATCAATGAATAAAGCATAGAAGGGACTGTTCCATTCATTGTTTTGTTCTAGTATTTGTCGCAAGGTTATTGTTATTTTAATGGCGAAATCATCCCAATATGAATAACTATTCATTTACGATAAACCATCGAATCCTTAACATCTATTTTAAATAAAAATCTTTACAACCAACATTATATACCACTTTAAGAAAATAATACACTACCACTGCTCTCTTTATTCATGCTTTCTTAAATGGGTGATAATGAGTCTGTTAATTAAATCAATACAATTAAAAACCACTGATAAGTATTGTATTGTGTTTACATACTTATTCAGTAACGAGAAAAATGGCCCGTTGAGGAAGGGTACAACGGGCGCTAGGCTGATAGTGCTGTCTCTTTTCTCTAAACTAAAACCACCCCACCCCAACCCCCACCCCCCCCCCCCACCCCCCAAAAACATGTCTACCGTCCCATTCAACGAAATATAATTATATACTTTTTCCAGTGTCCGCCCCCTCCCAGAAAATTCTACCCCCGCCCCCGAAAATTTCAAGTACCCCCACCCCTCTCCGGGGAGGAAAAAGTCTGAAAGAAACACTGGTGTCGCGCTTAGCCACTACCCGAAGAATTGCATTAAAGAAATTGCAAGAAAACCACTTTTTAGATTAGACACATTAATTAGGCGGTAATTTTATTATAGAGTATCGATGAAGAAATTTCTTTTGAGTTAGGGAGGGGGGGGCTCAGACGTTCTTACGCGGGGGTGGGGCTTCGCCCCTACCCGAAGAATTGTATGAAAGAAACTCTTCACGCAAACCACTTAGATAAGACAAAATCTCCGGTTTGAGATTATTTTCTACTCTGTGCTAAATGTGTCGACGTCATACTTCGTTTTTCGAATTACTATGCAGGTTTTTAATTTGCTTGTGTTTTCTCTAGAGCGTTCTTGTCAGACAGAGCGTTCTTGTCAGATAGACAGACAGCGAAACTATTAGTATTAATACGAGAAAAATGGCCCGTTGAGGAAGGGTACAACGGGCGCTAGGCTGATAGTGCTGTCTCTTTTCTCTAAACTAAAACCAACCCACCGCCCCACACCACCCCCCACCCCCCCCCACCCCCCCAAAAAACATGTCTACCGTCCCATTCAACGAAATATAATTATATACTTTTTCCAGTGTCCGCCCCCTCCCAGAAAATTCTACCCCCGCCCCCGAAAATTTCAAGTACCCCCACCCCTCTCCGGGGAGGAAAAAGTCTGAAAGAAACACTGACACCAACCCACCCCCCACCCCCCACCCCCCACCCCCACCCCCCACCCCCCACCCCCACCCCCCATCACACACCACCCCCACCCCCACCCCCCCACCCCCCACACCACCCCCTACCCCCCACACACACCACACCCTCCACACACCGCCCCCCCATCCCCCACCCACCCACCCCCACCCCTCCACCCCCCCCCCCCCACACCCCCCCCTCCACCCCCCCCCCACCCCGAAAAAAAACATGTCTACCGTCCCATTCAACGAAATATAATTATATACTTTTTCCAGTGTCCGCCCCCTCCCAGAAAATTCTACCCCCGCCCCCGAAAATTTCAAGTACCCCCACCCCTCTCCGGGGAGGAAAAAGTCTGAAAGAAACACTGAAACCAACCCACCCCCCCACACACCTTCCCCCACCCCCCCACCCCCACACACCACCCCCCCACACCCCCCCCCCCACCCCTCCACCCCCCCACCCCCCAAAAAAAAAACATGTCTACCGTCCCATTGCAAGAAAACCACTTTTTAGATTAGACACATTAATTAGGCGGTAATTTTATGCAAGAAACTCTTCACGCAAACCACTTAGATTAGACAACATTTCCTCTTTATTCAATGTTTACGCCAGAATCAATGACGTCATTATATTACTGTGTGCACTTTCCGCCTTGAGATTATTTTCAACTCTATGCTAAATGTGTCGACGTCATACTTCGTTTTTCGAATTACTATGCAGGTTTTTAATTTCCTTGTGTTTTCTCTAGAGCGTTCTTGTCAGACAGATAGATAGATAGATACACAGACAGCGAAACTATTATTATAGATGGTTGTGTGTAGTGTTTTGCCCTGTTTGATTCTAGTCGAATATGATGGTATTAGGGTATATGAGTTGGGGCTTGGTTGGTGGAATAGTAAATCGACTATAATATATTAGTAAAAGACGTATTATTAATAAAGTAATAAAACAAATTCAGAGAAGGATTGGTTAATTTATTAATGAAAAGACAGGTTTTCATTTTTATACACTGTGTAATATCAAACTTGTAAAATGCATGTATCTTATTGTTATGTTTTCTTTAATTTCTTTCTCAAAAAAACACAGTAGTAAAACACAAGGGGACAATAAATTAAATGAAAAAAACATAATTTAAAATGAGTTATGTCCCCTACAAAGCTAAATCGATATGGAAAACACTATCTCTTAAATATGCATAACATGCATAATAAAAGTACAACCAGGACCACATGAATGTATGCTTATATATAATGAACAACTTATTAAGGATTAAGTATCGTTAGACATAGAAAACTTTATAATGAATTTTTAGTGTTGCCCCTTTAAAAATAATTTACATTGCAATTGTATGCAACAATTGATGAAATGTATTGATGTAATTATTGGTAGTAAGCAGGTTCAAATACATGGACTAATAGAGAAAGGAGAAAAAAATCTTGTTGATATAGATTTGCCTTCATCAGTGAACAGCACGTCGTTAGAGAAATCTTTTTCGATATTTATTTTTATTAAAATTAGTACTTTCAAATAGTTTTAGTTATTTAATATAACGGAAGTCCACATTAATATAAAGCTATCATTGTACAATAAGTTTAATATTTACATAATAGCAAATTATTGGTAATATAAACTATACATTTGAACATTCTTGTAATGTTTGTAAATTCAGCAAAATAATTACTTCTATGAAAGTAATTGTAAATTCAGCTTATTTGACAAGTTTATTATGTATATTCACGGTCGTCGAAGTTTCATCTCAACTTGCTCCAGAGAATCGCCGTGCGTTGATATACTGTACCAGTTGATACCTTCACCATACACTTTATTAGCCCACACACCGTTTACGTTCACACTATGACATGCGTTATACCACCAGCCGCCTTTATATACCTCAGCACAGTTACTAGACCACCTATCGTTGTCTTTATCTAGAGTAGAAAAAGCCATTTCGTTGTGAGCACTAAAGTTGTCTGTAGAGTTGCCTGTCTTGAATGTAAACTTTATCCTATACAAATCTGCTTCATTTCCCACCGTCACATTACTGTACACCATGTAGTAGGATTTAACTTTATATTTCATGTCAAACCTCAGTTCACTGTAGCCCTGTAAATTAAAATAAAATATAATATATATGACAATCTTTGACTTCACAAATATAAAGCTTAAATGAGTAACCACACTATAATATTATAAGGTGGATAAGAAACGTGTGTATTTATTTTGAAAGCAAATTTGTTTTCTTTTGTTGAGGGGGGGGGGGGGGGGGGGGGGGGGGGGGGCGGGGGGGAGCCGGACTTTTTTACGAAAGACTTTTGTCCGAAGAAATATTTTTCCATATGCAACAAATGCTCAAATGGCCGTTTATTTGAAAATGCCCCATGTATAAACTGTTAATTTTAATTTTTTTTAATCTTCAATTATCATTCATATAACCGAAAATGATTTTTTATAGATTGTTTGTCTAGTTACAAAACATATACATATATATATACACACATATATATATATATATATATATATATATATATATATATATATATATATATATATATATATATATATATATGTATATATATATATATATATATATATATATATATATATATATATATATATATATATATATATATATATATATATATATATATAAATTATATATATATATATATATATATGTATATATATATATATATATTTATATATATGTATATATATATATATATATATATATATATATATATATATATATATATATATATATATATATATATATGGCGTAACCCAAAAACCTGTATACGCCTCTGTCCCTAGATACGACAAGAGAACCGAACAGCAGTCGCAAGATCGTCGTATACTAATTGTGGAAACATTGCTACAAATTTAAACTGAAATTGTCACGTACGTTTTGAGTGAGGTTTGAGATTATGTCATTTCCCAGCCAATAATCTCCAGCCAAAGATCCAAAACCATGTTTGTAGTCGCTCCAGATTCTGGTGAAATTTAAGTCACCCGAAATACGCCTCTGAAACAAACATGAAACACGATAGACATTATCTCATTATGTTGGACGAATGAACCCTTAAGAAAACCTACTATTTACACTTGAAATTTGCAACATCAACTTTTAATTATTAAAAAATGCTTCCGTTTTTTAGTTATTCATATTGTTAAATCCCTTAACCACTTGGGAACTTTTACCGGCGTTGTGTGAATTTAAAAACAAAGATCAACATATTCGAAATAAGATACTAAAGGGACACAATCACTAAAACATTAAAATTATTACCAAAAAAAATTGTAAAAGCAGACAAATATAATTATAATACATATTGATAACAGTACAGTAATATGAAAGTCATTACGATAGAAGTATCTAAAAAATAATAAAGACATTTTGATTTAAGCCAATCGAATAACTAACTATACAGAAGTATATCTAATATCAGCTGTATGAAAACACACAATTCATGATTCTCTAAAACAAACGAAAACCTTTTTGTTTTCGTGTACAATTTACGAATTTGACGTTGACAAATCGTACAAGAATTGGGAGACTTTCAAAGATACTTTAATGTAATAATTATAGCAAATACATTGTGGGCCTGGTAAAGTAGCATATAGTATATACTACAATTGCTCATAACTGTACAAATATTCGTATTGATTGCTACAACCTTACATAGATTAACTTTTAAAATAGATACAGTACCTGTACTACAATCCATCCTCCACCATCTGTTTTGGTGTCACACAACGCCATTTGGCCTTCATATAATTTAACAATAATATGTCCTGGGAGACTTGAGTTATTGTTCCTGACACACTAGATGAAACAAAAATTGAAAATGTCAATAGGTATAAAAGAAATTTAAAATGCGTTATTTCTATTTTATACAGTAACAAAATAATATGTTGTTTCAGTGAGAATTGTCGACAAAAAAATACTTATGTAGTTAATAATTTATAAAACATTTATGAAAATTAACATCATAGTTTGTTTTAATTTAAAAAAAATTGATTAAACCACCAAGTTTGATAAACACAGAATCCGAACACTTATAATTTCCTGTAAAATTAATTACCTGTTTCATAGATTTTAAAATCAATGGTTGATCGTTGTTTTTATCTGGCAATTCTTGTACAGTTTTATTGAAACCATCTTCTTCGTGTATCGTTGTGTTCATACTCTCTTCTGAGACAGTTTTCTTTAAAAGAAATTCCACCTTGTGTAATCTGATACTGAGTTGTTCTGTTTGGTTCTTTGTGTTGGCTAACATTGTTTGGATTGATTCGTTCAAAACAGCCGAATTATTTTTATTTAACTCGGTCTTTAAATTCAGCTTGTTTTCCATGATCTGTAATGTTTTGTTTACATCAAGAGTTAAATTCTTTAACTTATCATCCACCATGTCCTCGAATGTTGAAGAACTGATCTGTTTATAACTGTTATTTAACTCTGTATCTGTTGGACCAAAACTTCTGCCTGTGCTGAATTTATCGCCACCAGAATGTGACATCTGTAATGACATTGTCATGTCTGCACCTTTCAGTCTGTCTGGGTCTTCAAACGATTTGAGAAAATCGGCCATTGTGTCAACAGATTTAACATAGTCAGATGTTTTAGCTTTCAAATTCATCATTAGAAATGTGTCACGTGATTTTCTGGGTAAATTCTCCGTCTGTTTCCCAATTCTATTAATAGATCCTGTTGTATTCACATAATGTATTTCACATAGAAAAATGCCATCATTGCAGTCTGAATTATTTGAGAAAAAGATTTCCAATTCAGAAAATGTTTTCGATATTTTCCCATCTACTCTTGTTCCAGCCCTTTTGTAATCTTGAAGCTTTGAATCTGATTCTGAAATAGACGCCACCAAAATCTTCCCCTCTGGTTCAGTGATCCTATAGACTGACATGTTGACAAGAGCTGATATTTGAGTGTCTTCTCTTATGTTTTCTGTACACTGGAGTTGTGCACACACAAAATTCTTGCCGTGGTAAAAATATTCTCTGTTCATGTCAAATTTTAGTCCTGAAAAAAAACAAAAAATGTGTCCATATTTGAGTGCCAAATGTTCAAAATAATTCAGTGTCTGGTAACAACTCAGCTGGATTGTGAAGTCCTTGGTTCTTTGGACTAGAATTGAATATTTCAGTTACACGTTATATCATTTTGGCAATTAAGAATTTTCAAAATAAACCTCGCGGTTTCAAAAACAGCAGTAATTATTGCAATACATCAAAAAGGACGTTGGCTTATCGTTGCGCTTATAAGTTGCAAGAAGACTAAAGGCGCGATATTAATAAGAAATGTCGGTGTCTTTACAGGTAAGTAATCATTAAATGAAATTCTTAAAAGTAAAATGTATTCTAAATATTGATGCTGACCAGAGCAGATTTTTATAACTCAAAAATTGCTGTCAAGACTAGAATTTCTATTACAGCTGATACTAATGTCTGGAGCATTGACAAGGAGAACTACCACAGAAAGTACACTTAAGTTCCAGACATTCCTAAATGTAAGCTGGTAGAAAAGAAGAAGATAGTGGGAATACATTTGCCATATACCATCTTCAGTAAAGATCTAGAATAGCGGATGAACCAGCAAGCTGATTAAAATCTAGAATGGCATATGAAAAGATGGCGAAAGACTGTCCACAACGTCAGCATCAACATCAAAATAATTCTGTGACTGTTTTATGTGGATACGAATGTTCTTGCTTTTTATTTAATCTTTGAATTTAATTCGATATGTTATGTAACCAGAGGCGTAGCTAGAGGAGGGCAGGTGGGGCGAAAGCCCCGGTTGCCGACCCTAAGGGGGCGCCGACCCTAACTTGGCGCCAAACGAGTTAGAAGAAATAAATAAAGAGTTTATTATGAACTGCATTAATGAATAATGCTCTATTAAAAATCAGGAACCAAACTACTGCTTGGCTTTCTAGACTTATTAAAATGTTTTCTACATCTATTGTGTGCCTCCAAGATAAAAACTGTTACGGGACACCAAAATAAAAACTGTCACGGTTCAGTGACTAGTAAAGAGCGGCCTTCACCTTTCGTCAAATGTAAATAAATATACAAATGGGCGGGGATGCAAAATCGATATTTCGCCATAGAATGGGATCGCTACGCCTCTGCCTCTAACACATAACACTGTTTCATTAAAACAACGTAGAGTTTGAAATAAGTGTAGGCAGGTTGTATACTAAACGTTAACAAATAAAAACTTGCGATCACATGATCTTGAGATATACTTAAATTAATGTACTTTTTAAAATTATTTGAAATAAAAACTAAAAAGGTATACTTTTTATATATTCAGTAGTTACACAATTAATAAATATTTTCATTAATTTGTATAAATTTGAATTTTGTTAAATAACAACGTCAAAAACTTACCTGTGCTAGAAATAATATTGACAACGATGAACGTGAATAACACAGAGAGCATCATTTTGATAGTAATGGTTTATTCTATTAAAAAATAAAAAACAATCACCAAAATCTAAACTTCACTTCACGGCAAGGATCTAAACTAACGAAACAGAAATGCGGGCTGTTTTATACAGGGTTGTCTTGGATTCTTTGTTTGGCACCCTTACCCCACTGACGTCATTAATCTATGAGGTGGTAAATCGAATTTTATTAAAAATTGAGATTTCTGCAGTGTTTCTTACAGGTATCTGTTTGGGGTGTGGAGGAAAATCTACCCCCCCCCCCCCCCCACACACACACACCCCGGGAAAGAAATGGAATTTAAATAGAAAATATACACTTTTAACAGTGTCCGAAATTTTAGTTCGCCCCCCCCCCCCCTAAAATTTCAAGCGCCCCCCCCCCCCCTCTCGAAGAAAAAAGTCTTGAAGAAATACTGGATTTCTGTTACAAATTTTATAGGCTTCAAAGAGTCGAATACTGAAACAATTTGATAAGTTTATCGCAGACATGAGTTTTTCACTTTATCTAGCAATTTAAAATTGCTTTGAAATTGAAAAAGAAAACACTATGTTGTGAAACTAATCCGGCAAAACAGCTCTCGGCGATATATAAATAATAAAGGAGATAATAAAATTAAAGGCGGTGAAAATGGCGAGTGTGAAACCGGAAGACGGATATTCAAATCTATTAAAAGAAAGTGGGAAAACCACTTTAGATTAATATAGAGATATCATCATACAAACTTCAAACCTGTTTACATCGTTTAATAAAAATAAATGACTGGTGTAAAAGATTCTACATAAAGCACTTCTCTGCTTGGGGTTTGAGCACTGTAAATTAGTGACGTGTTTAAACCCGGAATACACTTTAAAAATATCTTTTTCCATACGATAAGAAGAATTTTATGTTCAGCTCATAAAGCCGCGGATATAAAGAAACTTATTTTTGTGTTGAGAATTTTTTTTTTTAAAACAAGAAATAAACTTCTAAAACTACAGTGGTAACTCGAAATACTGGTTTAATTTGTTACGTAACATTGCTCGTAAGTCGAATCGCTGGTATATCAAAGCAATTTTTTCTTCATTGAATTTAGTTGAAAAACCATTAATACGTTCCATTTGTATATTATACGTGTTTTTACTTTCTCGTAAAGGAAGCATACAGGAAGTATATTAAGCAAAAACTCGAAATCGAGATTTTCACAAAATCTCTACCTTTAACAACTCTCTGAGTCGTGAGTCGAAAACACTTTAATTTTGCAATTTTCTCGCTCTCCCTCTTGCTCTGTGACGTAGCATGAACACCGTTTACATACGATCAGGTAGGAATTGGTCTGCATGTCCACAGTGAGACAAAATAAAATTAGAGAGTGAGCTAACCATGATCGCTATGTTAACTTCGCATTGAGATGTTCGCTTGTCTCCCTTTGCAGTTTAAGTACTATATAAGGGAACAAACTCATTCATACAGTCAAGCATTATTCAAGTAGCGACCCTACAAGGCATATTCAGTGTTATTTAACAATGAGCACTTTACATTTGGACAATAACTGAACAACTTGAGATGTGTAAAATCGATTTGTGCCAACTGTCAATAACAAATCCAGGTACATTACATTTACCTCATGCCTCAACCCTAATTTAATTGTCACCCATTATGAATCTTAATGACATTTGAAGTTAAACAACATTATTGCGTAGCTAACAATATTTCGTTCCAATACTTTTAACAGTTTACATAATATTTTGTCTTTTATATTTTGTCGCTTCACAGGTACTTTTGTGATAAACAAAAATCAACACAGTTAAATTGGTTTGGAAATATTTTTTTTTAAAATTAGTTAATAGTTAATAGTAACCAAGTAATCGTGTCTTTTCCAATTTTTCTGGAGGTAAAGAGCTCAGCGACGTTTGATTGGCTGGGTCTTCGTGGTTAATCTTCGGTGATTTCCGTAGTTGTAGAATGTAGCGGATGGTTGCTTGGATGGTGCAAATGATAGACTGGCGAATAGAGAAAAAGTAATTACACTATCGAGGAAATGCAGATAAGAGCTGAAGAGACTTCTTCTTCTTCTTCGTCTTCTTCATTGTTCTTCTTCTTCGTTCTTAGTTTTAATTATTGTAAAATGGCTTTGCGCCATTTAGGCCATTGACTCCGATTTCAGTCTGCTTTTCTGTTTGGATTTTCTTCCACAGCCTTTGTCCAGCCACGAACAAACCACAAGGCAGCAGTTGTTTGATTTTGGAGTTGTCTCTTCTAGATGAATGGCTGACCTCGGATGTCGAGCCTCATCTGCCCGGGGGTTTAAACTCCGGACTTAATGGTTCAGGAACCATGAGCTCAACCGACCCGACCACGCCGACGAGAGACTCATTGATTTACAACGAACTTGAGTCCAGGAATCGAACTTTATTTTAAAAACTCAATACCATGACAGATCGTCCGAAAATTCGCCCGAAGTCAAACAGGTATGTGGATTAATAATGTAGCTAACATTATGATCAGCAGTCTTTATCTCCTCCGTCTCTAGACAGGTACCCATAACAGCTGAGCAGACACAGTAAAAATCTAGAGTCTGTCAAAAGTTTTACATTCTTTACGTTTTATCTGATAGGAAGAAGTTAGTCTTCTTACCCAAAAAACTCGAGTTCGGGTCCTTGGATAAAATCGTAGCACATCCCTGAGACGACGAGTACTGACCTCACTATCCAAAAAAAAGTGGGTGTACTCTGCTTCAGCTACACGGATGTTTTTTTTCTTTTGTTTTTTTTTTCTTTTAGACATAAACATCATGCACCTATTTATAAATTGCGTGTGGCTTTCTTTATCCACCATCTTTCTATTGAAAACTTGTTTTTTTTTTTAAATACATGCGGGTACATTGTAATAACTACAAAAAGCCCGGATTCATCTGGCCCCACATACCATCAGAAGAAATATCCCAGCGACGATGGTGGATCCGGTGTTGAACCCTACACTATCCGCCAGAGCGCCGCCTATGGTTGGACCAATGAACCCACTGCGGAAAAATTCAGTTAACATTGGAATTCGTTGCTTAGATATTCCAACAAATAATAATTTTTATTACAACCAAATTTACATTTGGATCTAAAAATTATTTTGCATTGCTAATATGGAATGAATTTAAATATAAATAAGAAGTTTGTATACAGGGCTAAATATTGTATTTCTCACCCTAAGTGAAAACTTGTTTGTTGAAGGCCATTTACATAGCCGTAAGTACTAAGGCTTTCAGGAAATCCCAATTCTCTGTTTAAAAAAAACGTAAAATAATGTTAACAATGAAAGTGTAAGCGATAAAAATATCGAGAGAAAATTACATATGCAAACTATTGGTTTTAAAGTTGACCTTTTGTATTTCTTACAATTCGAATTTTGAAAAATAAAAATTCTTTTTTTTTACAAATGTTGAAAATTTATATTTTAAATAGGAAAGCTAGATTTATACTTCAATTTACATACTTTCCCATCATAAAACAACTGAAAACAAAATTAGTTTTTAAAACTTATTGAAGGTTTTGCTTCTTTATATGAATTTTGTTTTTTAATAACACTTAAAGTTTACGGATATTTTAGTTCAAGTTAAATTGGTTTTCAACATCTTTATTAAAATTTTCATTTTATTTCAATGTACTATCACCAGACGATACATTACCTGGCCCCTTGGATAGAACACTTGACAGCTGGAACATAGGCCACACTCACAACTAGGCCGTACATAACTAGGCCCGTCACAACCAGCCATAGCTCGCTAAAAACAAACATAGGCTATATATATATATATATATATATATATATATATATATATATATATATATATATATATATATATAAATATATATATATATATATATATATTGTTAAATTTATATAACAATATATATATATATATATAATATATTAAATATATATATATATATATATATATATATATATATATATATATATATATATATATATATATTGTTATATACACATTTGTAACAGCTGCATGGTGATGCAATCATGTAAGAAAGGTAGGCTACGTGTGATTTATAAAAACTATTTTGAGCAATGACCTACTTTGGAAGAAAATGCCCTAGATCCGTTGGCCCAATTAATAAATATGCCACGGCGTTTAAAAAGTTGCCAATTATGAGGAGTAAGACACTTCTTTGCTGAAACTAAAAACAGATTATATTTTGAATGATTAAGTGAAGTTGGCACAGACATCAGTTTTAACTCGGCTGTTTAGATATGTTTGAAACAAACAAAATCGGACTTTATGAAGTCGTTGAATTGTGTATATGCATACTATTGCCGCCTACATGCTTTTTTAAAGGACATTTTGCCTATGAAGAGGGGGGGGGGGGATTTCCGAAGGAAAGGAGCGATTATAAGATTTTTTTTTTAGAATTTATTTTTAGATAACCAGGCTGTCTATGAGGGCGATGAAGTAGATCTCATCTGTTTCTGTGAACTCGGCACATATAAATGGTTAGCATTGTCTACACCATACACAGCCGTCTTTACTTTCATTAACAGGAGTCAGGTACGCTTCAGAGCTGGGTTGACTCGAACGTCTTTTTTTGTCCAGGGAGGTAGGAGGGGGAGTGGCGGAAGTACTATATCTGAGAAGAATATCCCCGAGACAGAGTTCTGCTGGAGGGAGGCTTTACAACAATGAGAATAATACGGCTCAGGCCATGCTCGAGAATAATAACATGGTTCTTCTCTTCTTTAAAAGTCCCAGACCTTCAGTTTTATGAATAGCCTACCCCTAACCTTGAGTGATATGAATAGCCTAACCCTAACCTTTAGTTATATAAATAGCTTACCCCTAACCTTCAGTTTTATAAATAGCCTACCCCTAACCTTCAGTTTTATAAATAGCCTACCCCTAACCTTGAGTTATATGAATAGCCTACCCCTAACCTTCAGTTTTATAAATAGCCTACCCCTAACCTTTAGTTATATAAATAGCCTACCCCTAACCTTTAGTTATATAAATAGCCTACCCCTAACCTTTAGTTATATAAATAGCCTACCCCTAACCTTTAGTTATATAAATAGCCTACCCCTAACATTGAGTTATATAAATAGCCTACCCCTAACCTTTAGTTTATAAATAGCCAACCCCTAACCTTGAGTTATATAAATAGCCAACCCCTAACCTTGAGTTATATAAATAGCCTACCCCTAACCTTTAGTTATATAAATAGCCTACCCCTAACCTTTAGTTATATAAATAGCCTACCCCTAACCTTGAGTTATATAAATAGCCTACCCCTAACCTTGAGTTATATAAATAGCCTACCCCTAACCTTGAGTTATATTGAAAAAAAGTACCTACATATCGGTCACTGACCCAACCCCAGAGGGGGGAGGTGAGGGCGTAGATTCCGGGGACGACAGCAAACAAGAGACTGGAGATTAGTGGAGATACTCCAAACTAGATATTGAATAAATAAAAATAGATACTCCAAACTAGATATTGAATAAATAAAAATAGATACTCCAAACTAGATATTGAATAAATAAAAATAGATACTCCAAACTAGATATTGAATACATAAAAATAGATACTCCAAACTAGATATTGCAAAAATAAAAATAGACACTCCAAACTAGATATTGAATACATAAAAATAGATACTCCAAACTAGATATTGAATAAATAAAAATAGATACTCCAAACTAGATATTGAATAAATAAAAATAGATACTCCAAACTAGATATTGAATAAATAAAAATAGATACTCCAAACTAGATATTGAATAAATAAAAATAGATACTCCAAACTAGATATTGAATAAATAAAAATAGATACTCCAAACTAGATATTGAATAAATAAAAATAGATACTCCAAACTTGATATTAAATAAATAAAAATATATACTCCAAACTAGATATTAAATAAATAAAAATATATACTCCAAACTAGATATTGAATAAATAAAAATAGATACTCCAAACTAGATATAGAATAAATAAAAATAGATACTCCAAACTAGACATTGAATAAATAAAAATAGATACTCCAAACTAGATATTGAATTAAAAAAAATAGATACTCCAAACTAGATATTGCAAAAATAAAAATAGACACTCCAAACTAGATATTGCAAAAATAAAAATAGACACTCCAAACTAGATATTGCAAAAATAAAAATAGACACTCTAAACTAGATATTGAAAAAATAAAAATAGATACTCCAAACTAGATATTGAATAAATAAAAATAGATACTCCAAACTAGATATTGCAAAAATAAAAATAGACACTCCAAACTAGATATTGCAAAAATATAAATAGACACTCCAAACTAGATATTGAACAAATTAAAATAGATACTCCAAACTAGATATTGAATACATAAAAATAGATACTCCAAACTAGATATTGAATAAATAAAAATAGATACTCCAAACTAGGTATTAAACAAAAAAATAGATACTCCAAACTAGATATAGAACAAAGAAATAAAAACAGATACTCCAAACTAGATTTTGTAAACAAAAAAGATACTGCTAAATAGATTTTGTACAAATAAAACATAGATACTCCGAACTAGATATTTTGTAGAAATTAAAATAAAACAAATGTTTACAAAGAAACGAAACAAAGAGGTACATCACAAGTGGCATAAAATAAAAGGGGAAGGGGAGATACAGTGTTTTCTATATCGTGCTACAAACACTTCTAGCACGTGGTTGCGTGAGCCACCTGTTGCACGTGTTTGGTGAGTACAGGGTCGATGAACGTGAAGCCAATAGATGACGCCATCACGGTCAATGCACCCAGCCACACCAGGCTGCTCCTTAGGAGGGCAAGCACGGACTTGTGTTCCTCGACCTTGACCTCTGTTAGAATATTCAGTCATAGATCTTTTAAACATTCGTTATACGTTCGAACATGTAAGCATACATCTTAACAATATTGTAAACGAGCCGACCCGCAGCGTATCATACGCCGCTATTTAGTTGTTTTATGATCTACTTTTCAGTAATTCATAATTTGTGAATTCGACAGTACCAATGCTGCCACTGAAAATATTTGCTTTAAAACACTACCCCCCCTTTCCCCTAACCCCGACACTACACCCCCCCCCCCCCCCGTGAAAGCAGCCTCCTCTTAGTTATTTCTTAGTTACCTCCTGTACGTTTAAAATCGAACTAAATTATCTGCCCCTAATAGAAACCCGGCTCTACGGCTCTACGATTTGTAAACATTTAGCTTTGTAAACATTTAGTGTGACCACAGCTCACCAGACCATGTGGGGTGGGGTGGGGTGGGGGTGGTAGTGATAGTGATAGAGAGAAAGAGAGGGGACTGCAAGGAGGCGCTTGCAGCTTGTTTTCTAACGGCTCCCAGAAGAGAATAATATATAGATAGATAAAACATGGATCATTAAAACAATGTATGTATTTCATCTTATATATATATATATATATATATATATATATATATATATATATATATATATATATATATATATATATATATATATATACTTAAACTATGGCGTTGTTTGCAAATATAATTATAAACTTTCAATCATTGGCTCTACTATGACATTTCTACATACATCTTTACAACATATCCCTTTCTTCTATTTCTTCTTTAAATTCTTAATATAATTGCAATATTGATGGGGATTCCCTCAAACATAGATTTGTACACAATGTACACAATTTTAGAACATAAAGTAAACGTAGACCTTTACAATATGGTCTATAAAGAACCAGCGGCGTCGCTGCGCACATTGTTTTACGAAAAAAAAATTGTATTAAAAATGCATACTAATTATCAACAGAAATAAATTAGAGTCTAAATCTATAATTAAATTTGATCTATCTTCAATGCGAGCAAAGTTATAGAGTTTCGAAAATGTGTTAATTTTTACACCTTTTCGTGGTTTCCATGGCAACCTGAACTGCTAGAGGCGATTTTATTCAAATTTTGTCGATGGTACAAAAACTACCAACATTTGGATTTATTAAACATTATGAGACGTTAAATACAGACCTTTTTTTTATCTGTGGTGTCTAACTTTTACAATGGCAATGACGAAAGATGAACAAAATAATCTTTAAAAAATATGGCCATGGCATTATCATCAGTGCAAAGAAAAAATCTTTAAACGATGGCCATGATAGAAAGTATGAAAACTTTAAAACTATGGTCATGATCGAAGTAAAAATACACATTTTTCCAGTTCCCCTGTTTTATCATTTAAATATTGGTCATCTAGATACTATGAAACCGACAAGGCATACGTTAAAAACAGCTGCTTGATACAACTTGACTACGTAGATATGTATATGCGAACTTTGGGTAACAATTAGAGGCATACAAAAGGTTACCCAGCAAATAAATTAATAAAGCATTTCATTACTTTTTATAATCTCCATAACTATATTCAAAACATGTTACAAATCCCTTTAATCCTCAGGTTATTGATAATGCCATTGACTTAAACGGCGTATAATTAATTTGTGAATAATTGCGTGCATCTGTGGGTGACATTGATCGGTGAACGCACGTGTCATTATCACGTGGGGCCTGCTCGCTCCACATTTATTTTTAGAAGTTTTAATTACTACACGAGCTTAATAACTAAATTGACAGGTTGATGTATATAGATATATAGTTATTTAAGTTAGCCAAAAAGTCGTACCTTCTGTGCTATGATCAGGCTATAAATAGCTCCATCAAATCAAATCACTAACTTACTTAATTACATTAAATTTAAATTCGTCATAACTCTTTATCAAATCACCAACTTTAATTAAGTTTAACCAAAATTCGTCATTACTCTTTATTATATCACCAACTTTAATTAAGTTAAACCAAAATTCGTCATTACTCTTTATCAAATCACCAACTTTAATTAAGTTAAACCAAAATTCGTCATTACTCTTTATCAAATCACCAACTTTAATTAAGTTAAACCAAAATTCGTCATTACTCTTTATTATATCACCAACTTTAATTAAGTTAAACCAAAGTTCGTCATTACTCTTTATCAAATCACCAACTTTAATTAAGTCAAATCAAAATTCGTCATAACTCTTTATCAAGTCGTCCATCGTAAGTTAATACATTCACATAAATCACAAATCTGCAAAAAACTAAAACCAAGTGTCAAACTTTTACCCCTAACCCAACACCACCTTTGCACTTACGACATGTAGGCCTATACTGTATATAATCAGATATATATTTGTTTCGATATTTGGACGCCCATGATCCAAATACGGTCCGTGAAACTAGTTTGTAATTCGCCGAGAATCATCTTAAGTTTGTTGGTAACTGTCACAATACCTTAGAGCAGGGGTTCCCAACCCCGTGCCCGCGGGCGCCATGGCGCCCGCCGAACGATTCGTATGTGCCCGCCTCTCACTATTCGACAGAGACAGAATTTTTTTTCATAAACATTATTGAAAGGTTGAAGGGGATGGAAATCAAACGTTTGAGGAGGGGGGTGCAAATCGAAAATTTGAGGGGGGGGGGGGTGCAAATCGAAAATTTGAGGGGGGGGGGGTGCAAATCGAAAATTTGAGGGGGGGGGTGCAAATCCCCGGGTGACGGGAAGGGTCGCTACGCCTCTGGAAGGAGTTTGTCGATTTAAAATAGGTGGTGCCCGCCACCCTACCGATATTTTAAAATGTGCTCTAGAGTAAAAAAAGGTTGGGAACCCCTGCCTTAAAGCAACATTTACTTAAATGTTTTTTTTAGTTTGGTAATATTCGTCGTATCTTAATGTAATTTTATCTAGCTAAAAGTTCATGGATAATGATATCAATATTCAACGTTTTTTTAGAAAGATGGATCATGACGTCAACGTGTCAGAGAAAGATGAACTATGACGTCAACATTCAAGATGTTAGAGAAAGATTGATCATGACGTCGAAAATAAAGACGTTAGAGAATCCTTGATCATGATGCCAACAATCAATGTGTAATAGATCATGAAGTCAACTTATCAAAGAAAGATGGATTATGTCGTCAACATTCAATGTGTTAAAGTAAAAGATGGATCATGAAGTCAACATTCAATGTGTTAAAGAAAAAGATGAATCATGAAGTCAACATTCAATGTGTTAAAGTAAAAGATGGATTATGACGTCAACATTCAATGTGTTAAAGTAAAAGATGGATTATGACGTCAACATTCAATGTGTTAAAGAAAAAGATGGATCATGAAGTCAACATTCAAATTGTTAAAGTAAAAGATGCATGATGAAGTCAACATTCAATGTGTTAAAGAAAAAGATGCATCATGAAGTCAACATTCAATGTGTTAAAGTAAAAGATGGATTATGACGTCAACATTCAATGTGTTAAAGTAAAAGATGGATTATGACGTCAACATTCAATGTGTTAAAGTAAAAGATGGATTATGACGTCAACATTCAATGTGTTAAAGAAAAAGATGGATCATGAAGTCAACATTCAATGTGTTAAAGAAAAAGATGGATCATGAAGTCAACATTCAATGTGTTAAAGAAAAAGATGGATCATGAAGTCAACATTCAATGTGTTAAAGAAAAAGATGGATCATGAAGTAAACATTCAATGTGTTAAAGTCAAAGATGCATCATGAAGTCAAAATTCAAATTGTTAAAGTAAAAGATGCATCATGAAGTCAACATTCAAATTGTTAAAGTAAAAGATGCATCATGAAGTCAACATTCAAATTGTTAAAGTAAAAGATGGATCAAGACGTCAGAGTATCCGAGAAAAGTTTATCATAACGTCAGCATGACAATTATTAATCGTGACGTCAACATGTCAGAGAAAGAATGATCAAGATTTCAAGCTGTGTGAGCAGATTATTAATGAAGACGTCAACGTTTAACAGGCTAAAGAAAGGTGAATCATGACGTCAGTACTTACCATGTTGTGGAGGTAGTGTGATAAATATGATGACCCCCGCCAATAAAATAGCGGCACCAACGGCCCAGAAGGGTAAGCCAAAACCTCCAAGCTGAAAATAAAATTGGAACCTTTTTAAAACAAATAGATAACTTATGTATTTAATAAAAACCTTTTGTAAAAGTAAAGTAAAAGTAAAGTATCCAGAGATTCTTCCAGGCATCTCTTCGAAGAAAGTCTACCGCCCTTACCCCCCCCCCCCCCCATCCCCGCCATCGAAATTGAATTTATATAGGAAATATATACTTTTCCCTAAGCTGCAAATCGTCACAAAAGGCGACCCCCCCACCTCACCTTCACAAAGTATTGGTAGGTATGCAATGTCTTCATTAACGACTTCTAACAATAGCAGCACATATCCTTACTTCCATCATTTTCTTACATCCTGGATCCACAGAAATGTTTATAAAAATCACCATTGTATTTAAATACATTTAACTAAGGCCTCACCTCATAGAGCAGACCTCCGATGGTTGGACCAATCATCAGTCCAATGCAGTAAAATGCGGCCAATATGGCCTGCAAAATGTTACACACACACATATATATATATATATATATATATATATATATATATATATATATATATATATATATATATATATATATATATTTATATATATATATATATATATATATATATATATATATATATATATACATACATGCATACGTTTATATATATATATATATATATATATATATATATATATATATATATATATATATATATATATATATATATATATATATATATATATGCATTCTATTGTGTAAAGGGTGATTTCTTCATAAAAGTCGACTTTAAAAATTAAAAAGTAACTTCAGCTTGAGTATGACCAAACTTAAATTCAGTTGTAAATTACAAAAAAATTAATTAAGTTACTAATTTCAAAAACATAAGTTGAGTAGAAAAATAATCAAAATATAATTAGAGTTAAAAATGTATCAAAACAAAAGTTGTTGTTTTTTTCAAAATGGACCAAAACATAAATTGAGTTACAATTTTGACCAAAACAATAAAATAAATTAAGTTTCAAATTAACTAACACAAAAATTTACTTACAAATTAACCATCATAGAATCTGTGTCAGAAATAAAGCTGAACTCACCACAACAGTGCTGACGTTATCAGGAAACTGGCATGACGCTATAGAGCTGCTGGATATGACGACCCCTAGGGCACCCAGAGCCTCGACCACGCGAACAATGAAGGAGAGGACGATGAAGGGAGTGCCAGACGGGCATTTGTCCAGCACCCTGGTGTGAGAGATGTTTGTGACAGAAATATGTGTGAGTGTCAGTGACACGTCGTTAGAAATGTGTGTGTGAGAAATGTGTGTGTGAGAGAAATGTGTGTGTTAGTGACAAATTTGTTATAGCCTTGTCATTTATAAAACTTTAACTCCCATAACAAAAGAGCAGATAAGCAGAGAGCGTTTATTTGACACTGCTCTTTACTATTATTAAAGCACCTCCGATTTATATATATACTAGAATACCCGTCATCCGTTGGATAACTGTGGGTTTCGGGGGTCATCCATCAAAAAACATCATTTCTGTCACTCAGAGGCATAGCGACCCTTCCCGGCGCCCGGGGACAAAGTTTTCGATTTGAACCCCCCCCTCAAACTTTTGATGTGCAATTCCCCCCCCCCCCCCCCACTCAAACTTTCGATTTGAACCCCCCTCAACCTATCAATTTATTTTTCCAAACCATTTTGGCGCCCCAACATATGTCCCCCCCCCTTCCCCCCTCCACCTCCCCACCCCCGCCTCCCCTTCCCCCCCGCCTCCCCTCCCCACCCCCCGCCTCCCCTCCCCTACCGTCCCCCCCCCCCCTCCTCGGTACGCTACTGCAGTGTCACTTATCGTCACAAAAAACAGACCCCACATTCAAATATATGTTTTTTATCTTTTAAAAACACCGAAAACACCGATTTCGGACTATCCCTTCATAAACTGACGTCACAGGTGACCTACTCAACTCTACTTCACCTGCCCAGTGTCCTGCCAAGTCTCAGACAACATGTTTTTATCGTTTAAAAAACAATTCCAGCCGAGCATGTATCTGACCACACTATCCTTTCATATGCTTAGGACAAAGAAACAGATGAACTCTACTTCACCTGCCCTGTATCTTGCCAAGTTCAGATAGGCAACGTTATCATTCACATCTAAAAAAAAAATTGAAAAAAAAAATTTCATTGACATATTGGTCTAGAACCCGTGCCTCCTGCATGAGAGCTGACTACGCTACCATTTTAGCTATTTACTCGTGACGTCACAAGTGAATTTTTATACTATACTATGTGTCTCCTTATGCAACTTGATTTACGCGTATAGATTCTAGATCTAGATCTAAAAATAAGTCTAGTAGTACTAACTTTCAAATTAAATTTTATCTTAAATAAGCCAAACAAAGATTTATATAAAATAATTAAGGCCTGAAATAGATTCTAGATGTAGAATTTACATTGAATCTAGTGACCTACATCTAGGCTAGATCTAGATCTAGATCTAGGCTAGATTCATAAATTTCCTTCGATAGCTGATCTTTAGATCTAGAGAAATTTATCGTAAAACTAAATGAAAAAGACAGTTGAAAATTGATATAAGTGTTGGAACGTAATAAATACAGCAAAAGGACGTATTGTTTAAGTTATAGCCGGCAGAAAATTAGCTTTGTAACGCGTTAAACTTTTGAATGGGCCACAAAGTCTATGATGGGGTCCGCCATTTTTATTGTACCAAAAATGTAAACACATCAAGGGACGTCACTATCCCCACAAAGTTTATTCAAAGTATTAACATTTTTAAAAAAATACGGTTAATTTAACTATGAATAAATCAATAAATTAATTAACGTCTTTAAATAAATTTGTGATCAACAGTTTGTCTGCATTAAAAAATTATTCTCTACCTGCATACTATTTTACAGCTTTCCAGATAGAGTGGAACATATCACAATAGTCAATCAGGCAAACAAAAAAATAAATATTCAAACATGTAAACAAACTTGACTTTTAGTAGTATATAGATATATATATATATATATATATATATATATATATATATATATATATATATATATATATAATATTTAGGGGATAAAAAAGAAAGTAGATACAAACTTACCTCTAAATCTACATAACAAAAAAGACTTACCCGAATAACAGAGAGCTGCAACCAGCCAAACCAAGCCCCGCCACACACACAAACTTAGCACCTAAAATTGTCAACTGTGGAATGCAATACAACTTTACTCACAGTGATTAGAAATGCTGGCACCCCTCCCCCACCCCACGGTCGACCCCCACCTCGCCAAAACCTGTATCATCTACGCCTTAAATATGTTCATATATATATATATATATATATTATATATATATATATATATATATATATATATATATGTATATATATATATATATATATATATACATATATATTCTATAATGTAAAAACCAAGCATGTCTATGTTGTGGTTTGAACTTGAAACTACTTACTTAATAAGAAAGTGTCATACTTACCATGCCACCTATGATAGGACTGGCGCAGAAACTAACAATAGAGAACACAGAGAACACAAGTCCTATGATGGTCTGTGACACGCCTTTCTTCTCAGCCTACATGGAAGACACAGTGAAGACTACATTACTACACAAATTACATTACTACACACAGAAAAATTTGCTATACATTGACTAAATTACTACACAGACTACATTACTACACAGACATTACTACACAGACTACATTACTACACAGACATTACTACACAGAATACATTACTACACAGACATTACTACACAGACTACATTACTACACAGACATTACTACACAGACTACATTACTACACAGACATTACTACACAGACATTACTACACAGACATTACTACACAGACTACATTACTACACAGACTACATTACTACACAGACTACATTACTACACAGACATTACTACACAGACTACATTACTACACAGACATTACTACACAGACATTACTACACAGACTACATTACTACACAGACTACATTACTACACAGACTACATTACTACACAGACTACATTACTACACAGACATTACTACACAGACTACATTACTACACAGACTACATTACTACACAGACTGCATTACTACATAGACTACATTACTAGATAGACTACATTACTAGATAGACTACATTACTACACAGACTACATTACTACATAGACTACATTACTAGACAGACTACATTACTACACAGACTACATTACTACACATAAAACATTACTACATCTACTACATTACTACACAGACTACATTACTACACAGATTACATTACTAGACATACTACTACACAGACTACATTACTACGCACACAACTTTACTATACATTGAATATACTACACACACACAACGTTACTATACATTGACTACACTACACACACACACACACACACAACTTTACTATACATTGACTATACTACACACACATACACTCCACACTACCTTCCCTCACTCACCTCCAATGGATAAAACGGTGCCAACAAGGAATACCCTGACCCACACGAAAAAACCGACAAAGCTAACATAATAAACAATCTCTTGTTGTTTCCTGACATCTTTAGAAAATTCAACTTTTTTTCTTCCTTCTCCTCTTCATTCCCTCCCAGGATTGTTTGTCCATTAGTGAGTTGGGTTGTCTGCTCCAATTGTTTATCATTATCACACGTAGAAACTGACATAGTCCTTGAAATGTTGCTAACAAACTAAGATAAGATTTAAAGTACCACTGTATCTATATCCTCTGTGTTGAAAATTATTATCTTTTTGTCGATGGCTACAAAAAAAAAATATTTAAAAAAAGTTAAATAGTATGCACAAAAAATTGCCGTTAGTGGTAGATAAGTTATACTCTAATATAAATGACAAATTAATGAAGATTCATCACGTTATACAAATGGATGTGCTCATTATACAACACCTTTCAATATGCCTTATCCCTTTATTCCATTGAATTAATTTTTGAATTAATTTTTTGAAAGGTATTTGAGCAGAAAAAACCTTAATGATAAACGTTTGTAGCATATTTGCTACATCATACAATTGTGGGAATCGTCGTTGAGTCCATCCAGCTCTGATAAGTACTTGACTCACGTTAGGGAAAGTACAGGCGACTATGCGTATTGCTGAAAACACTATCACTTCGTATGCTACAGTCAAACAAACAAGTGAACTCTACTGATGCTACTTCATCTAACTCATAGACCGTAAAGTTCGAAAGGTTAAAAAAAAAGGTTTAAAAAGAGTTAAATGTAGAAGGGAAGAAATGTAAATCAACTATTTATGGAACTTGATGATTATTGATTTTAGTAGAATAAAAAAGGTTTCTCGCGTTTGGAGTATTTGAAACTCCATTACAAGACAAACACTGAATTTATGTAACTATACATCTATCGATAGACAGACAATGATTTAAAGTAACTATACGTCCAGCGAGCGATGCGACAGACATTTATTTATATAAACGTAACGTCCAGCGATTTTGATATAATAAAATAAAATGTACCCCCTGACATAAGTCCAAAATTAAGCGCGTAATGCTTCTATCTAATCTAGACCTATACAAATGTGGATACCTAACTTCATGTAGGTAAAAACTGTATAACTGTAAAACAACATTCTTCATTTTAAAAATAACTTATGATTTTATGCATCACTTAGCTGTAAACCATATTTGATTAGGCCTGCTAATAGGTTGAATAAGCGATATGAAACTTGTATCAGTCTACACACGTTGCAGTTTTTCCTTAGTGGGCGAAAACGGCTAGTTATTTTAATAATTAACACGTGATCTGATTTTAGAGCAACAAAAGAAAAATAAATAAAGTGATTTAAGAAAACATTAACATAGTTAATTGGCGGAAATAAACCAAAGGTTTATATAAAAAAATATTAACCAACATAAATGTAAATAACCATACGATCGATGAATGTTTATAAAATTAAACAGTTAGCTGATATGATTTAAATAAATAAAATGTTAACAAATATGAAACTACTCACATATTATGATGAACAACACACTGAAACGCAAAAAAAAAAAAATTACTGCGAAGTTTTTGACATCTTTAAAGCGTACTGTGTTGGCCACTAACTCTCACTGCTTATCTCATTATCCCCCCCCCCCCCCCACACCTCCCATCCGACCCCCCCCCCCCCCCTTGTGCCTTCACTCACCAAATGTGTATGGCTCAGTCAAAACTAATTAAATTCATAACTGATGACAGCAGAACAAAATCAAGAGACACGGGATGTGTAGGCCTATATGGTTCAAACAAAACTAATAAAATTCATAACTGATGACAGTAGAATAAAATCGGGAGACACGTGACTACTAGAGAGGTGAGTCGGAGAACGAACAGCTTGATCCAGCTTTATAAAGTGTCGTTTGAAGATTGACAGGTTTATTTATGTCATTATAGTTGGGAGTTCTGGCAGGTGAATTTGTATAATCAGCGTTAGGACTGTTGAGTGTTGAATATTGCATTTGCGTCATTATCGTTGGGACTAAATGGCGTACTTTAACTATCATCGTTTTGACTGTAGATAGATGTATTTGTGACATCATCGTTTGGGGCAAGTTTTCTCTTTTCAATGAATGTAAAAATAATTTTCTTATCGAGTTTATGTTTGGTTCTTTTTTTTTTTTTTTTTTTTTCTATATTTTTTTAAATCTGAATGTTTTTAACGTTGAAATCAAAACTTTTTTCTTTCTATAATTTATAAACACAAAAATATGAGATTTTTCAACCATCAAAAAATAAACCCTGACACAAACGCATAAGCTTTAAGATGCGATCTGTAGCCGTCATCGCTTCATGCCAGGCAGTGTTGATTTAAAGCAGGGGTCTCCAAACTACGGCCCGCGGGCCGGATGCGGCCCGCGAGGTCCTCTCATCCGGCCCGCGGAGACCTTTTTGTCCAAGAAAAAATCGTTTGTTGGTGATAGCTGAGGAACTTTACCCAGAAAAATCAAAGACATGCCAGGAAGAAACTGGCCCCCGAACTGAACTTTAATAGTCAATGCGGCCCTCGGGCTGAAAAGTTTGGAGACCCCTGATTTAAAGTGATAAAATAATAAAACGTGTTTTGCTATGTATTTAAACACGTCTGTTTTTGATTGACGGCGCTTAAAAAAACACGACAAAAGAGTAAGTTACATCAGATTAGCTTAGGCCCTATTTGTCAGATCTGCATATGTTAGCCTATGTGGACTGATGGACATATAAATATAATACCAAAGTTAGGCTACATATCTATTATAATCTTGCGTTTTCAATCGGAGTCAATGAATGGCGCATAACCAGTTGACACGTAATCCTTAAATGCGATGGAAGCATGGTCGAGTCGGCAAAGCTCATGGTTGATACATTCGAGCAAAAAAGTCTCGAGTTCAAACCCTCTGGCAGATAAGGCTCGATCCCTCCCAACACTAAAAATTAAGAACGAAGAAGAAGAAGAATTGGATCCAACCAAACATCAATATAACTCACATGTTTACAAAGTGAGGAGAGACTTGTTCAAGTTTTGTTATCTGAACCAAATCGTTATATAGGTATCCTTTAAAAAAAAACAACATATTATCAGTAGATTGTCAGGAGTGTAGACAGTTAATCATGCGCTTATAGGCCTGCACCTCATGTATGAAAGTTGTGTTTGGATATTCTTTTCTTGTAGTCAGCACGATACCGAGCCGGCTTTACAAGTCAGTCAAGTTAAATCAGAGCTGGGTGGTCTTAGGGACTTCCTGCAGTAACTAGATCTAGACTTGATCTAGATCCGAACTCGAGACATCGGGCTATGGCCTAACGCTCTTGTTAGTTATTGATAGTATTTCTTTATTACCAACATGTTTTGCTAGATTTTTTTTTTGTTTCAGAAAATTAATACACCTTTTTATTTGTTGTGACATAATCAACTGATCACATGACAAATCATACAAAACGATAAATACAATGTAACAAAGTGTTAGTGAGTGTGTGAACATTGTTCTTTAATTCCGCTATTTACATTTGAGTAGCTACAAAACTTTCACATGTTACAAGCATGTATATACACATAATATGTACAGTCTGGAAAACGTGAAGTCTGGGCCAGGTACAGCGGGGACTAGGTACAGCCTGGTACAATCTGGACTGGGTACAGCGTGGACCAGGTACAATATGAACTAGGTACAGTGTAAACCATATACAATGTGGACCTGGTACAATCTGGGCCAGGTACAGTTTTGTCCTTTAGCCACTCACACTGGTATACAAACATGATTAGCAAAGTAGTAGGTTAAACATAGTGGTTGCTATACATAGTGATTAAACATGAAGTAGTTAAACATGGTAGCACAGTGTAGCCACACTAGGTGGCAACACGCTGGTAGCTACACACAGTGATTACACACTTACAGTTACACTTAATGGTAGCACAGTGTAGCCACACTAGGTAACAACACACAGCTACACACAGTGATTACACACTTACAGTTACACTAAGTGGTACCACAGTGTAGCAACAAGGTGACAACACATTGATAGCTACACACTTAAGTCTAACCTGCACACAGAGAGACCTACACAACAGTAGCTATAAACACTAGTGTGTACCTGACACAAACACTAATGGATAGCACAGCAATATCTGCACAAAATAATAGCTACACATAGTCATTGTTACATATAGTATTGGCTAACATACACAAGGATATCTAACACAGTTGCTACAATGATAGCATACACTCAAGTAATGCATTTATAAAAGCTAAACCCTAACTAAAGCGATTAAAGAATCACTTTTAGTTAGTCAAAAGCTATTACTAACTAAAGTTTCACTTTAGTTAGCCAAAACATATATTCAACATCAAATATCAAAGTTTTCCAATGTTCTATAATCAACATTTCTTTTCATTGAGATATTTACAATATATAAAACAATTGTCATTACATTTTCATGTCCATATAATATTTTTCACAATGAAATGCACAAGATTGCAAACTAAAAACAAATACACAAAACATAATCTAAACAAAATTTTATTTTTTAAATTAACATTAACAAAGAAGTTTGCCATATTTTAACATTTTAAAACATTATTTAAACAATTAGATCTAGATGGCTGTTTAGTATTTATAATCAATCCTGTAAAAAAATTAATTACAATTTTTTGATTATCTTAGTTTTTGAGAAATCTTTGATCAACAGTTTTTTTTTTTTTTGCAAAATGCAATACTCTAGAAAATTAATTCTGAATAATGGAGAAGGAAGCCTAACAAATATTGAAAGAGTAAATGCTTTGTTTAGTAACTGAAGGAGACTGGGTTTTTCAATTAAAACATTTTTTTTTAAATTGTACAATAAAAATGTGAATTAAAAAAATGAATGAATCAAGCTGGTGTATGCACATGTTTATACAGCTGATTCAACAACAACAAAAGCATGCCAGCATGCTGTATTAGACAAATTCTGAACTAGACTTTTTGTTAAGTCTAGGGCCCACACAAGCAGAACTAGACTTTTTGACGTCTACATCAAAGACAGGCTGAACTAGACTTTTGCAAAAAACAAGTCTGTCACACAGTCTAGGACTCCCACAGACTGAACTATACTCTCTGACAAGACTATGCCACATAGAGACTGAACTAGACTTTTTGTCAAGTTTGTGTCACACATAGAGACTGAACTAGACTTTTTGTCAAGTTTGTGTCACACATAGAGACTGAACTAGACTTTGTGTCAAGTCTATGTCACACATAGAGACTGAACTAGACTTTTTGTCAAGTT